TCGTCTTCAACAATCTCTTCGTCTTCTCGCTCTTCAGCGCCGTCTTCGGTATGATTGTCATGATCGTCAATCTCGCGACCCAGGAACACGTTCCATTCATGGATATCCTACGACAAATCAAGTTCTTCGACACGACTATGCGTACGCTATGCGAAGTCTCGCCCTTTTGGGTTACATGGCTCGTCCAGCGTAACCTGGGTGCTGCTATTGATCTGGCCCAGGCTGTCAACCTCGCGTGGGGCAGTTTCTCTCGCAAGTTCTTGAACCCGACGCCTAGGGAGCTGATCAGTCGGACTGCGCCGCCGCCGTTTGACTATGCGAGTTACTACAATTACTTTTTGTTTTACTCGACGGTTGCGCTGTGTTTTGCGCCGTTGCAGCCGATTACGCTGGTTATTGTGGCGATTTACTTTACGCTCGATAGCTGGATGAAGAAATATCTTCTGATGTGAGTCTTAACTCCAAAACCCTCAAATACCCCGCTGACATATGATTAGGTACGTCTTCTGCACCAAGAACGAGTCTGGTGGCGCCTTCTGGCGTGTGCTCTTCAACCGCATGCTCGTTGGCACTTTCTTCTCCAACTGCATCGTTGCACTGCTGGTCGTAGCTCGTGGTTACGAACACAAATGGACCATGCTGGCCGCCATGGCCCCTCTTCCTCTCGGCCTAATCGCCTTCAAATTCTACTGCAAAAACGCCTTCGACCACTCACTCAAGTACTACACGCAAGGTACACGCGCCAAGGGCACCGAAGCCCCAACCCCAATAGACAAAGAATCACGCCGAAGGGATCGCGTTGCCGTGCGATTCGGGTAAGTCATCTATTCATTCTCACGACGAAATCAATTTAATAATATGTTATGACAGCCACCCCGCCCTCTACCAAAAACTCACCGTCCCCATGGTGCACGAAAAATCCAAACACCTCCTCGCCGAAGTCTACCGCGGCCGCCTCGACGGCGACATCGGCGACACCGCCGCCTTCTCCGACGTCTACACCATGAAACGCATGTCCAAAGAACACCCTGGTAAAACCGCTGCCTCAGCCAACATCTCAAGTGGAGCAGGGGGCAACACCGGCCCCTTTGAATTCGTGTCGGAATCGAATATGGATTACGAGAATTACAAGAATAGACCTGAGTTTAGCGATGAACACGGTGGGGAGGGCAGTTTGTACGGCGGTAGTACGGTGGGGAGGCCTGATACACCGGGGAGTCATTGGGGCCGTGATAACTCCACCAACAACAGCGATCGCGGGCGCAGCACAAGTCGTGATTCGGAACGTACTATGCGCGACGATCCGGGCGTGTTGTACCCTGCTGGCTACCACCAGACACCCAGTGCGTTGCGCGAATACAGTCCTAGTCCTAGTCTTGATTTGAGGGGCGTGGATAGTAGAGAGAGTCCGTATGAGATTGGAGGAGGGGATCAGGGGAGGTTGGTTAGTGGGGCTGCGCCTATGGGTGTGGGGAGTGGGTTGGCTGGGGGAGGGGGATATGGGCAAAAGCAGCAGCAGTATACGCCGTATAGTCCTAGTAGGGACGGGGCGAGGGATTACTTTGCTAGGTAGTATAGGGAGAGAGGGGGTGTGGAGATGACGAATTTCCTATGTATAGACAGTTGCTAGCAGCGGCATCTGAAGGCGTTATCAGAGATTTAGATACCAGAACTATTTTCAATTTTCTGGAGCATCATAAGAGTTCACTAAACTTTCGCAAATTTCTGGGTGGGTGGGGGAGGTGGTGGATCCTAATCATGCTGAGCACGAGTGACTGATGTCTGGACTTGAAGTAGCGCATGGACTTGTGGGTGTTTTTGTGAGTGCAACAAGGATTTTAGAGAAATTACTCCTTGTAACATGCGTTTAGATGCGTATTAGAGAGGCTTGTAAAGTGAAAAAATGGACGCAAAATCGAGGAATGAACGCGGTTAGATAACTCGAATGTATAATTCAAAGTGTCGATTCCTATCCCAAACACCTCGTGCACACTAGATCTCCACAAACCTATCCCCAATGGAGATGTGACTAGGCATCATATCCCTCAACACCTCCAAATCCCCCACCCTCAGCGGATCAACCCCCCAAACCGCCAAATCCGCCACAAACCCCGGTAAAAGCCGACCCCTCTCCCCCTCCTCCTTTAGCAGTTCCGCAGCTTTCGTAGTATGCAACGCAACCGCTTCCTCCACACTAATCGCATGCTCAACCCCCCTCACCCCAATCACAGTCTCGCGACTCGCCATCCCCCACACCGACCGCATAGCCGCAAAACTGCCAACGGGGTAATCGCTCCCGCCCGCTATCACCGCACCAGCATCCAGCCAGGTACGAGCGGGGAAGGTGCGAGATACGCGCTCCGTCCCCCAGTATACCTCTTGTACCCCCGCTGCGTTATGGAGAAGCGGGTGCTGGATAGTCGTCGCGATTCCGAGGTTTACCGCTCGGATTTGTTCGCTGGGTGAGATTAGGCCTCCGTGTTCCATGACTAGTGTTCCGGGCTGGAGGTAGGGGAAGCGGTGCATGAGTTCGGCGTATACATCCAGTACCAACTTCACAGCCCGATCGCCATACGCATGTGTGCCTATCTTCCAGCCTCGACGTACGACCGCGGTCATGGCTTCCACGAGTGCCGGTTTCTCCCACGTGAGCACACCGTGGTAGGAAGGGAGGCCGCAACAATTACAATCTGCGTCTTTTTCGCGGCCGGGTGGTATCTCGAGGAAGGGTTCGGAGACGGCGCCTGCTTCCATGCCGCCGTCGACCATGAATTTCACGCCCCAGACGGAGAGGTAGGGGTCCGTTTGCATGTGCCGGTATGACTCCATTCTATCGAGGAGGGCCTCGACTTGCTCCGCGGATGTCATGCCTACGGCAGGTATGAGGGCATGCACGCGCACGTGAAGTTTCCCGGCTGTGTGGGTAGCGATGAGGGCGTCTAGATCGGCAAGGGGGACGTAGCAGTCGCGGACGCAGGCTGTGCCTGTCGCGGCGTACGCACGGCTTGCGGCTTCTAGACCGGAGATGCGTTCGGAGAGGGTTGTGGATGGCTTTAGTTTGAGGATGGGTATGGTGGCGGAGTCTTGGAAGAGACCGGATAGACTTCCGTCTGCTTCTTTTCCGATGAGGCCGCCGGGTGGTGAGGGCGTGGAGGAGGTTGTGTTTAGTAGGTCTGTAATGACCGAGTTAACTACTACGTTGTGACCACCGCGCATCACCATGATGGGATGTTTAGTGGATACTGCATCGAGTTCCTTGAGCGTGGGCAATCTCTGCTCTTTGATGTTGTACTCCAGCCAATCCGTTGCCGTACAAATCCATTCGCCTTCTTTCGTCTCGCTAGCCCGCTTCTTCAATCTTGCGAACAGTTCATCCAGGTTCTTGACATCGTGCACTGGCACATCGAAGTTGGTCAAACCGGCAAGAATCAGATGTGTGTGCGTATCTGTGAATGCAGGGAGGACGGTGGAGTCTGGTACGTCGATGATCTGGGTCTTGCTGCCGATGAAGTCGTCTAAGCCCGCTGGGTCCTCGGAGAGAGCAATAATGCGTCCGGAGAGGAGGGCTATGGATCGCTGTTGTGGCATGCCGGGTTGCAGTGTTTCGATTGTGCCGGCGCGGATTAGGGTGTCTGCTTGGGGATGGGAGGTGGGGGAAGTCATGATGAACGAAAGGCAATGTTTGAATTCAAGAGTGGTAATGTTGGCTTGAAAAAACAGTAGAGATGAAATTGGGTTGATCGTGTATAGTCGTACATGTTCACCAAGTAAGTCCTCGTTCTACTTGTACTCAAGCGTTCGGCCGAAGGAGTAGCAAGTGCCTTTGCGTACCTTCGTACCATCATGCGCTACGGTTGATGTGTGCGAACACATGACATGGTCTTCGTACAACGTCGCATATTGAGACTGTGGCTTGACCAGTATTGCGATTAGGTTGTGGCGGTAGAATGTACGGCATGGATCTCCTGGCTCTAGGTCGGTGGTCGCGTGATCAGCAGGCCGAAGACGGCGTTCGGGCTTCCAATATGCCGCACTTCAAATTCCATGACCCATGATAAAAAAAACATAGTCGAGAATGTAAGGTGGAGGAGGCGTGGAGATTCTAGTACGAAGCCAGTGCTCTGCTCAGCCATTCGGTGGAGACCGAGGTGGTCCTCGTGGCGGGGTAACGCGCTAATCGGATTAGCGCAGGAGCCTCAAACTTCATCTAAGGCATCCTCTCCTCCTCGACCACCCGCCGAACATTGGGACATCGCTGCATCTCGACTGTCACGTCCCGCTGAAGCTTCTGTCATTATCGTTACTCATCGGTCGGGTCGAGCTCGATGCGTCCATCATTCCTTGCCAAATCGTTTTCTGGGGTACATTGTATCGTCCCCTTCTTGGACTGAGTGGCTGGCTTCCTCTCATTGCTTTATTGATTGATCGCACAGTCGCAGGTACCATCTTTACGCGCGATCTACGTTCTTTGATTTTGCTGGACCGAGCAGATCCCGCTAGCGACGACGACCTGTGGCCCCAGCGGAAAGGACCACCGGGGCGTGTCCCATGCTGTTTGTCTCGTTCAAAACCTTGAAGTAGATGCTTCAGTATCGTATACACGTTGTCTTACAGACTGAGCGAACACGTCTTTGTCCATGCTTTTGGATGGAAAGCTGCGGCGAAAGTCTACCACTGCCAGCGTAATCGCGATACGTACAAGTTTCTTTCGTCTCAAGTCATTTGTCGATAAACCATTTGCGAAAGTCGAACTGAGACTCCGCAGTTCAAAAGAAGACATCTCGTGGAAATAGTCGTTGAGACTGTATCTGTTTCAGGGTATCGAATAGGTTAAGCGCGCACAGACTCCGCGTCAGTAGCTCTCTTTTCTCCATACTCTGTCATTTCGTCCAATACTTGCGTCTACTATCTCTTCCTTTTTCTAGAAAGAACGCGCGTTTGAGCGCCGGCGCTTATCATGGATCATCTACCATCTCTTCTAGTGGATACCTACAAACGGTATGAGTACGCCATCTAGATCGTCTACCCAGGTTGGCTAACCACTTCTTTTCGTCTCAGATACAAAAGTGGTACGCAAATTGTAGCTACTTGGCTGGCAACATCAGCCGCCAAAATCCAGTCCATTGACCACTTGTTGATCAAGAACGCACGTCTCAAGGGGCAAGCTCGCGCTGCAGCCCGACAAAACGGAGTGAGCGAAGTACCTCTAAACGCATTCAAGACCTTGGTCGACATCCTTGCGAAGGCCAAGATCACTTTGCCGACCGATATCGAAGCTATCTTGTGGAGTGTCATCACCGCTCGCAAAGAATGTGCAGGGTTCTACCGAGCGAAACCAGAGCGAGAAGCTGGTGATGAGATTGATGATGAAGGCCATCAGTTCTTCATCGAAATCCTCGATTACTATTACCACACGCTTAAAGCGCCGACAGCAGGCAAGACCAAGGAAGAACGCGAGAAAGGAGCATCTACGAATAGTCGCACATCCAACTTCTTCGAACACCTCAGTCTGGTTCAAGAGCATGCTGAGCCATCGGGCTACGTGCCTTCGGTGTCGACAGACACGCAGAGCCGAAGCTACCGTATCAAGGAGTCCACAAACCGAAAGAGTGAAAAGGCCTTTGCGCTTTTCTGTTTCCTCAAAGATATGACAGCCATTCGTTTATTCGTCCACAAAACCTGGCGCGGATACAAGGAACGTAGCCTGGCGCTCACCACAGCAGCGACTACCGCCAATGTCGCAGTTGACATCTTGCGACGCGTGAACGAGGCCTTCCTCAAAGACTTTCCAGAATTCGAAAGCCACCACAAAGTGATCAAGTTCCTTGAGAGCTTCGAAGAACAAGGTACCAGCGGAATCACCCGGAAAGACGAGATGGGCTGGTATGATCTCGATGACTTCAAACTGTCACCGCAAACCTTCGTCTGCAAAGATACTTACAACGTATATTTCCGAGACCACCTCTTCGATCACGACGGCAAGAAGGAAGTGATGGTAGATTATCACTCTGGCAGAAAAACTGCCAGAACCGAGCAGACTCACATGAGAAGGTGCCTTAGCGTCTTCTTGAGCCTCTCTAGGTCAGCCGATGTGGGCGCATTCACACGAGACCATGATATCCTAGCTCGCGCAATTCATACAATCGATGAGGAGCAAAAAGCAAGCACTTGGATCATATTCGCACTCCAGATGTTCGTCGACATGCACCGTGAGCTTGGTGCGGAAGTGCCTCGTGCGCATAGGGATCTCCTGGATGGTAACGCAAGAATGAGTGGCGCATTGAGACGGTACATTGACTTTGCAGAAAACCACGACGGCGAATGGGGCCGATATTTGCACACACAACTAGCCTCCTCATGGCATCGCCTTCTTGAGACTCTTGAAAGGGTTGACCATGTCAGCGACACGTTCAAGATGCACAATTCGTGGCTCGGGGGAGGAACCTTGGTGGATGGCCCGTTCTACCTCGAGAACCAACCAACCTATGCTGGATGCACACTAGAGCGTCATAAGGAAGGTGTGCACCTGTTCGGTGTTGAGGCTGCAAGACATTCCGAGCAACTCCTGTTCGCCTGCCACATCTACAATGCCGGACTCAAGAACGGGCTGTTGCGACGGTGGCCTGACATGGAATATCTTATCGCCAAGCAAACCGAGACGCATCTCTTCCTAGGAACCCGTCCGGTCGGTTACGAAGAGTGCGATAAGCGGCTACTTTTGATGCGAGGCTTCAGTCCCAGTGTGCTTGCCAAGCACAAGCGCGCCGGCAGGCCAATGTATGAGTTGTTCGAGACGATGGACACGAAGAAGAATCTTGGCGGCCGCAAACTAGAGATCTTCTCCGCTTTCGTTAGACAAGCTTCCGCTTTTGACGGCCTAAAGCGGGTAATGCTGAAGACGGACGAGAATGGCAAGAATAAGAACGAGCCGATCTGGCTTCTGGAGCGCGTAGTCCGGCATCGACTGGAAAGCAAATCGAAGACGTCAAAACATGGCAAACGTCGTAAGCAAGAACTCAGTCCTCTCCAGACACTTGAGACGTACCGAGACGCCATGAAGGAGGATGAATTCCTTCTCAACTTCGACATCATGACGCTGGATCTCATCGCCAACAAAATGATCCATGTCATCAAAGCCTGGTTGCGAGACTTTGGAGACTTGAAAGCTAGCTCGGTTCCTGGATCCAAGGTCAGTCTGAAATGTATCCGAGACATCGCAATGGCATCTGCGATGTTGTCATCAGCAAACAAGAAGCCGGAGATATGGGACGTCCTCGATCACATCATCAGTCGCGTTGGCAACATGTGTTACTTGCGCGCAGAGGCTCATCGCGGTACTGTGAACCTTCAGCCCCGCAACCCGGCATATGAAGGCCAGTTTCTTCCTACTGCTGCTGTGTTTGGTGGTCCGAACTCGCCCGAGGTCCCTGAAGACTGGCAGAACAAGTGGGATATCGTCGCCGGGAAGGGAGCGTATGACTACCATGTCTCTACTACGGCGCTTTTGACATCGGAGCAGAGAGCTAGGGACAAGGAGTGCAATGAGTTCTTGGAGAAGCTGATTCCGATCAATTATCCAGACTACAGCCAGGAACAAATCTGTCGGGATCTCGGAATGGAGTACAGGGATGTCACGCGATCGTTTCTTGTGCATTAACGGGCGTCTTTCTGTCTACATACCTATCGTCTGTCTTTTGGTAGTGCGTAGATTAGACGGATGCAATCGATTCGTTATCGCATCCACGACCCATGTGGAAAGTGAAAAATCGTGAAGTAAAAGGTGACCGGTGTTAGATGAACGTGTCCTGTACTGCGATGAGCGTAAAGATTGCAGGAGAAGAGGCGTTTTTGTTGTGCCCGCCCGAAGAGAGATAAGACGAAATGAGATGACGTAATCACCGCCGATCACACGCGCGCGGCTGGACGCGACCCCACGCTTCCAACACGCGTCAAAATGCTCACAGATAATGATGCCGCCCAAGAGAGGTACGTACCATGTTAGTAACGTCAACCAAGATAGAATTGACGTGCTCAGCTTCTAAACGCAAGGCGACCGATAATGCGACAGTTAGTCGCAATGCTAACACCGCTATACCTTAATGCTTATTAAGGACAAGACTATACTCTTAGGCATTGCGCAACTATTTAGCGCGTAGCTAAGCTCTAGAAAGAGTACTACTTTTAAAGATAATAATAAGTTAGTAATAAGTAGCTTATAATTTTACTACTTTCTTTATTATAATAGTAGACTTTAAAAAAGTTAAAAGTTATAAAAAGATACTAAGTAGTAGTAATTTACTATTAAAAGTAAGCTAAGTATTTATATAAAAGATAGTAATTATATTTATTAGTAAACTAATAATTCTATAGTAGAAGCTAGTCTAAAAAAAGTAAAGTTTATTACTAGTATATAAAAAAATATATTTTTAAAAAAGTTAAAATCTTATATTTAGAAGTATAAGCATTAAGTAAGCTAAGACTTAAGTTTTTAGTACTACTACTTCTAGTATAGTAGTTAAAACTTTTAAAATTTAAAGTAGTAAAGTAACTATTTTATAAATACTAACTTTTACTTATAGTAAAGAGAATTATAATATAATTATATATTCTTAATAGCTTATAACTAATAAAGCTATAAATTATAAAGTAATAAAATACTAAAATATTTAGTAAGTAAAATTATACTTTTACTATATATATACTCTCTATTCTCTATTTCTATTTTTATTTTTATTTTTATTTTTATTTTATAGCTTATAGTAAATTAAAGATCTAAAGACTTATTAAAGTAAATAGTAGCTTAAATTTAATACTAAAGCTATACTAGTATACTAAATAAGCTCTTAACTATATTACTACTCTTTTATAAGTTTTTTTAGTATTAGTAAGTTTAAAGCTAATCTTATTACTAGTTATATTATTTTTCTTTATACTTATATTAATTATATTTTTATACTATATTATATTACTTATTAAAGCTTTTATAAACTACTCTAAGACTACTACTAAAAAAAAAGCTCTTAGTTAAGCTATTTTAAAAATTATTATATAAACTATTATTAAAGCTATTATAAATGCTATTATTAAAGCTCTTAAAGCTTATTTAACTTATTTTATATTATATTTTAAAACTACTAATACTATTAATACTATTAATACTATTAAGATAATTATACTACTACTATAAAAGCTTTTAATAAGTAGACTAAAACTTTTTATAGTTTTTTATTATAGCTAAGCCTTTAAGTAACTTACTAGTAATATATAAAAGTTTTTTTATAAGCTATACTTACTTTAAAAAAAGTAATAAAATAGTTATTATATTACTAGTATTACTCTTTTTATTTAAATTAATTTATTAATTATTTATACTATTTATACTTATAACTTTATATATAAAATTAAGCTATAAATAGCTCTACTTATAAAGATAAAGGTAGCTATTATATACTAGCGTAAAGCGTTTATTAGAATTCTTAGCTAAAGTAATAATAAATAGATTAAAAAGAACAAAGTATTTAAGGCTTACTTTTAGTATAATAATACTATTAAATAGATAGTAGCTATATTAGTATTTTACTATTATAGTTACTTTTAAGAACTAAAAGAGTAGTTATTTTTATTAGCTTAAGTTATATTATATTAATAGCTAAAGATTAAATATAGTAAGATATTAATAATATAAATATTACTTAATATAAAGTTTACTTTCTTAGTAAAGTTTTAAAAGTAATATATTATTAGTTTATATAGAAGTCTTAGTACTAATAGTAATATATACTAAATATATTAAAATTTTAAAATCTTTTAGTAGTTCTAGAATAAAAGCTAAGCGTTTTTTAATATTTTTTTACTAAATAAAGTTTATAAAATTAGGTATAAAATACTATAGTAATTATATTAGTAGCTATAGTTATAAATATATTATATTTTTAAAAAGTAATACTTACTATAGTTATCTTTTATATTTTTTTTTTTTAACTTATATTTATATATAGTAATTTTATTTTATAGTTACTATTTACTTTACTTTATAGTACTATAATAATATAAAGTAAAATAAGCTACTTATAACTTTTATAATATTAATAACTTTAATAAAAAGATACTTTTATAAATAAGAGAAATTGCAAGTATAATACACTGCTAACACCGCCAAACGAGTCGCGCAAGAAAACGCGAACTTCGGTACTCCAAGAGAGTGGCTGATTGAGGCCAGGAAAGGAATCAAGAATGCACTAGAATCTTCCCTTCTACCGAATGCCGGCCAACAGGTCTCCGATGAATCAGACTCAGGCGACTCAGAGCTCGCCGATTTCGAGGTTGAGGGTGATGGCTATGACGCGGCCATCCAGGTGGAAGAAGAGCACGAGAAGCGTGTCGAGAGAGCGCAGAGACATATAGCGATAAGACTTCATCGCGAGGAGGAGGTGCAAGTTGGTGACGTACGAGGTGAATGGGATCTCTACTCTCCCAACTATCTTGATCTACACGAAGTCGACAACCGAGCGCTGATATACACTGGACGGTTCAATTTCCATCAGTGGAAGACGGGAAATCTGACGATTGGAGAGCATAGTAACGACACAGCGCTTTCTCTGATGGGAGCTACTGCAAAGCTTTCCCTCACCGGCCTCAAGAACGAATGGCACCTGCCCCTCAACCTCCCCAAACTCCCATCTGTGGAGCTACAACCACTCCAAGGCATCCGCCAGAACTACGAAGGTGCTGGAAACCCAGAGGTTCGACTCGGCATATCGTTCCTAGGAAACGGCTACTTGAAGATGAGGATACCGGGCATATACATCGCCGGGAAGAAGGAATGGAGAAGACATCGTACCTTTTACGGCATCAACCGCACATGTCCGCCACGAGAGATGGAGAGCCCTGAGCCGCTGCCACGACCTGCGACACCGCCGCCGCCGGAGGGATTCAAGTATGGTAAGAGAGGCAATCTGGTTCGCATATCGAAGTCGCGACAGAAGCCAGCGCCGCAGCCAGTGCCGGTCGAGACTGTAGATGATCCTGATGATGAGCTGGTGTCTTCGGATGAGGAGCTGATACGAAGGCTTCTGGAAGAATTGGATGATAGCTTGTTCATCAGCTGGCCGGACGACGACTAGGGACAAGAGTATTGATGGCCTCTCTACATGCCTCCGTGGAAGGCTTGCTTGATGCGACATTCGCCTCATCAAACCTGGCTTGCTCATGTGCACGCGAGGTATGGCACAAACACATGTGCTTCCCTCTGAAAATGATTGTTCAACACACAAGGCGAGCGCTTTTGACAATCAGGCGTCTGGGTTGAAAAGCCCTTAGGTCGCCACGAAAGGCATCTCTCTATTTTCACATCTTTCGCCATCAGAGATTGCGGAACAATGGATGTGCGCGCAAAATTCAATGAGCCCGAGAAAGCCATGGAACAGTATCAAGCCATGCTACAAGAGGCTAGACAGATGAAAAGAAAGATTCCCGGAGACCGCAAGAACAAGAATGCATTGCTAGCAGCCTTCCTACCGGCGCAGGGGCTTGGAACAGCGAGTTCTGATAGCGAGGAGAGGCTTCTGATCAACACATCGTTCTTACCACGGGCATATCCGCCTTCCGTCGTCCCTCTCAAGAACTTGCAGCCTATCGCGATCAAAGACCTTCGGCTTGAACGACACCATCGCGATCGGTATATTGTATTGCGGTCCATCACGTCTCCAAAACGCATGGCAGCGATTGAGGTTCTGGCGGAAGACGAGCACGGGGATGACATACCATTGCGGTTGTACCAGCAGGACGATGAAGCAACACGCCCAGCCACAGATATCATCGATAAGCATTCGGTTGTTCTCATCAAGGAGCCGTTCTTCAAGTTTACGGCAGCTGGAGACTACAGTCTGCGAGTGGACCACCTTTCTGATGTCGTGTTTGTCTCAGACAATGATGCGATAGTACCTGATCTGTTCCAACGACCGCGACACGCTGAGGTGAAAACAGCAGAAACTTTGAAGCTAGAGGGGAATGCTCTCATAGACGGCAAAAAGTACTGGCAAGCGATCCACAGGTAAGTATTGCATGTAACGAGCGAGTGAGTGCGCTAACATGTAGGACAGGTATTCAGCCGCCTTGCTGCAATCGCCTACTCCCGACGAGATCAAAGTGATCAAGCTGAATCGATCATTGGCTTACCTCAGTACCAAGCAGTATGAGGCCGCGCTCTGGGATACTGGTTACCCAAGCTTCGGTGAAGAAGGATCAGAGATGGCAATGCTTCTTGCATCACAGGCACTGTACCACCTCCGCCATTACGACGAGTGCTGCGATCTGCTGAAAGAGCTTTGCAAATTATCTCCAACCGACCAAGACGCAGCCGATGCGCTCGCTCGTGCTCAGCGTCGTTGCGATGAGTGTAATAGTGGAAGATTCGACTTCAAACACCTCCGAAGCGAAGCAACAGAATTTCGACCACCTCATCTAGATCACGGGTCGTACATTGCGCCTGTAGAGGATCGCCCAGTGCAAGGTAAGGGTCGCGGTCTTTTCACAACCAGGCCCCTCAAGGTCGGGGATTTGGTGCTGTGTGAGAAGGCCTTCAGCCACGCTCATCTTGACGATGGACAAAGAGGTAACGCAAGCATCACCCGCTTGGTCAATGTCGAGTCGGGTTTGGACGCCACAGGCGTCAGGGCCGACCTTATCCGACTGATCGCGCAGAAGCTATTCAAGAACCCCTCCCTGGCTCCGGATTTCACTACACTGTATCATGGCAATTACCAAGCGGTCGCCACACAGCGCGTAGATGATCAGCCGGTAGTGGACACGTAAGTACCGCCCTACCACTCAAGTCGATTGGCCTGGCAGACTAATACGACGCTCCTCCAGCTTTCTCATCGAACGAATCGAGGCTTTCAACAACTTCTCCTGTCCCCTCACGAGTTTGAACATATACAAAGACCGAATAGCAGGGATAACGACGCCCAAAGAAGACCTTCATAACTGTGGCGTCTGGATTAAGGCCTCATATATCAACCACAGCTGTCTTGGCAACGTCTGTCGAACCTTCATTGGAGACATGATGATCATCCGCGCGACCAAGGATCTGGATGTGGGCACAGAACTCACATTTCCGTATGTTTATCCGACCGGAAAATACGATATGAAGATGGACGACGAGCTGAAGACCTGGGGCTTCACTTGCAACTGCCCGCTCTGCAAAGATATCAAAGCCACCAAAGCTTCGAACCTCACGAAGAGGCAGAACTTGCTGAACCAAGTAGTCAAACTCTGCAAATCTCCGGCGGCAGGAATCCAGTTTACAAATAAGATCGAACGCTTAGCCGAGGCGCTGAACGAGACATACACCCGTCCGGCGGAGGAAGTGCCTCGGCTCCTCCTGTGGAGTCCGTATCTCCTGCTGACACGGATTTACATGAAACGCTCCATTTACGGCAAAGCATTGGAGACCATGGGTAAATTCCTCCAGGCTCTGGGCTTCACTTTTACCGGGCTTGACCGCAAGTCTTCGCCTTTGATGATCACAGGGTGGGGTCACGTGGAAGATCGTCTAGTAGACGTCTTCCTGCATGCGCGATCAGCGTTTGAGCAGTTGGGGTTGTCTGAGAAATCGCAACAGGCGGACAAGTATGCGCGAGTCGTGTATCGAGTTGTTGTTGGGGAAGATACGTCATTTGATGAGACGCACCCTAGGTCTCCTTAGATCGTGCAAAGAGCGAATTGGATGCGTTGTGGAGTATGTACAAGCACATAGCGGCATCCGGAAGTACAATTCATTTCCTTGTTCGCATCGAACGCCAACGCCTGGCTTAGAAAATAGCGCCACAGTCGTCAAAGCCTTTTGACCATCTACGCTTGGATCTGATTGAAAGCATACTACACTACAACCTAGAACTGCGAATCCAAGGTGTGTGATCATTACCATTGATCATGATCCAGCATAAGTACCATTTGCACTACCTATGAAGACGACCTCGACGGCCGCGAACCTATCGCAAATGTAAGTTTCAATGGTCTACAACATGAAGTGGGGAACATACGCCGCTGTGCCAGCGAAAATCTCCTTCATTGTCGCGGCGTCAAAGATTCTAAGAAGAACTCCGATGGTGATTGTAGCCACTATCGTGATCCAGATCCTGGTGATCGTTCTCTTCACATGGAACAACCAGAGGATGATGAGGCTTGGAAGCAGCGAGATGGCGATAGTCGATAGAAGGCTGAATGTCCACTTCACGACGTCGAAAAATATTGTGATCTCCGAGTGGAGTCCAGCGTCTCCGGCTTGGGGTCGGAAGAGCGAGCGAAACTACAACCCGTCAATGTTAACCTCATCTGCTGGCCCCAAAGACTTACAGCATAGAATACTGTGTCCAGTAGCCCGACGAGATTTGGGAGGAACCATTCTGATAGCACGTTGTCCTCTTCCTGGTCCCCGGGTGTCAACGCCGTCAGATCGCGCCTGAAGACTTCTTCCAATGTTCGCAGGAATTTAATGTCTTCATGGTAATTTGCTGTGCCCTCATGCATACGCATCGCTCTCCGCAGGAACCTAAATCGCCTGTCGCTGGGTCTTTGCAACTGCGTCACCTCTGCTGTGGAGAGAAGCAACTCGTCTATCACACATTATTAAGCGTCTGGGGAAAGAAGATAATAGTGGGCTACAAACGATAGGTGACCAATTTCGTTTGTGCCAACTCCAGCAACGCCATCTGGTTCGGGTGGCCCGGTTCGCCCTCTGTGGTCGCTCGCTCCAGTTTAAAACTGGAAACGTATGAAGAGTAACTTTGTCCTGGCTGGCGAGGCTCATAGTCTGTCAATCGCTTAACTTGCAACTTCTCTTCAATCTCAATGAGTTCAGCTTGGAGGCGCATCAAGTTAAGCGCGCTCAGGGTTCCGAAACGTCGAAAGATGGCCGCTCCCTGGAACTCTCCCATCCACGCAGCTAGCTCCGGATGCACTTCAACGTGCCGCTCAATGGGTTGTGCCATCTTGCAGATGAATCGACTTGTCAGTAAGGGAGAGGGGAAAGAGCAACTTTGCAGAGGAATAGGGCTACGAACAATATCTTTGATGAGCGTGACTGTTCTTTGTAATGTGAGAAACCAGTATGGAAGGCTTGACCCCGCTTTCGAAGGCAAGCCATGACATATGTACGTGGAACTGATAGTAAAACTCAGCCTTGGGTCAGCTCTGCACTCATTCGGTTTGGTGTATGTGGTGGCGACCAAGATTGTCAGCTTTGATTCTGTGGCCACTGAGCTCCTCGCTTGGCATGCGTGCAGACAACACAGCTGAAGATAATGCGTCCAATGGCTTTCTTACCATGCAGGCTCGGACTTTGGTGTGAAAAAACTTCGTCAAGACGGAAATGATGTCGGCATCGGCACTAACGTTGTCAACACAGCATCTAGCACTGTCCGCTCAGCATGAAATACAACAAAATATCATTCAAGTCCAATCCGTCGGGTAAGACCCCGCCAGTTCAAAAAACACCAGTCCAATCCCAACATAGGTATAGTATCAGAAAATCCTCGTCCAACCTCTTCATCACCTTACAACCCCTCCCTGAAGACACTCCTCCGACTCTCCGTCGGGCTGTTCTCTACACTATCCACACTGCCCGCTTTCTTGTGCTTGCTCACACTCGGCATTGTCGCCGTAGCACCACCCCGATAACTCGTATCCGCATCGAGCACCGGCCTAGGACTCACGCCCCTCAGACTCGCCGCATTGTCGTCGCCAAAGGGATTCCTCCCACTCTGCGCATCGAGATGTTCATCGTAGGAATCGCGTGTGCGGCTACGACCGCGACTTGGCTCGACATTGTTATACGGCGTGGGGTTGGCATACGGATTCGCAGTCTGTCCACCATGGGTAGACGCCGGTTCATGGAGCCCAAGCTCCTGCTCCTCATAGTATGCCTCGTCGCCCACGCGCGAACTCCACGCCTCATCAGGATCAAGACGACTTCCCGCGCCGCGGCCCCCGCCGACGCCGCGCCCGCCGCTGTAGCCGGCGTCTTCGTAGCCGCTACCCGTCGTGTACCGGTTGTTTCTGTTCTTGAACTTGCGCACTTGGGTGTCGAACCAGCCCTTGATGCCGGTGGGTGCGGGACCGGGGTAGTTTGAGGCTGCGCCGGCGTCAGAGGAGCGGCTGAAGGCTACCATTGGGTTCATGGAGGGTGGAGGTAGGCCATTGCGGGAGGCGTTCCACCGGGCGTAGAAGTACCAGCCGAAGTAGGAGAAGGAGAGGAGGAGCAGCAGGATGATGATGAAGACTAGCCAGCCGTTCATGGTGGCGGTCGTCGTGTGGGTTGTTGTGGGGAGGGCTTAGGGTCGCATGTGCGGTTTGCGTGTGGTGGGCGCGATTGCGCGGATCCGATGGGTTTGCTGGCGCTGATGCGGACGGTCGTGTCGACAAGGGCAGGTGGCGATGGGCCTGATGGTGTCCCGACAGGCGTGGAATGCGACGTCGGCTGGCTGCGCCGCAATGTCAATTTGTTGGTGTAGCTGGCAGGCGCGGCTGAGTTCCTCCAGCCCAGGCGGCTGCGTAGTATCGCCAAGTGATGACGTAACCCTTGCTGACGCCGCTGCCCGAATCTAACAACTGTTAAATTGACGGAGAAATCCTTTGCGATGTTAACAATGACAGGGAGGACTGTTTAACCCCTATCATCAAAATCTGTTCCGACGGAAAAGTTTCAGATTGATGCGTGCTTTTCGTCTCACGACGAGGCCGTTATTGAACATGACGCACGCGGACTAGCGCCGACCGTAACGAAAAATGGGGCAGGTGGGATTGCGCGATTGGGCAGCCAGCCTATCACGCCTATCTCCACACATGGAGTGGGTGACATTGCATGTGGCAGGAACCGGACGTTCATCGCTCGGTTCGACTTCTGGCCGTCTATGAACTGATCATCATCTTACTCATTTGCGATCGCACTACAGTAAAAAGTCCGGCCGAGTCATTGTTTACACTAGGCTGCCATTATGAACAGATCTGGCGGGGACGATCAGCATCGCAAGATCGTGTTCACGACTCAAAGCGTCGACGGCGAGTCAGAGGCTGTTGTTACATTACAAGAGCACAAAGATCCTACGAGGCCACCTTTCTTGATCAATGTATCGACACGACCTCGCGGTCAACAACTGCCGTTCTCTCCACCAGAAAAGCGCGAGACTCATGTTATCATCTCAAGTGGCTCAGGTCATGGACTCGCGGATGAGTTCTTCTCCAGCGCTGTGGGCCCGATCCTCGAAAGCATATATGGAAACAAAGGCATGAAAGAGTTGAAAGTACATACCACGGAATCGCCAACCAGCATCTTGGAACTCACCGACGCTGTCCTCTTTCCAGCCGCCAATCAAGGAAAACCAATCCGCATCATTCTCCTATCAGGAGATGGCGGCATCGTAGACCTCGTAAATGGTCTCTCATCCAAAACACCAAACCCACAGACCTACATTTCTCCCCAAGTCGTGGTCCTACCTCTAGGAACCGCAAACGCGCTCTACCACTCCATCAACGCGGGAGGATACGACGCATGGGGTCTCCCCACCCTGACATCATGGAAAACAAAGCCCCTTCCCACCTTCACAGCGACGTTCTCCCCCGGCGCCCGCCTCCTCATCGATGAAGCCCGACAAGAGCAAGAACTACCCAAAGACACGCAGGGCAACGGCATTCTTCACGGCGCCGTCGTAGCCTCCTGGGGCATGCACGCCACGCTCGTCGGCGACAGCGACACAACCGAGTACCGCAAGCACGGCGTCGAGCGCTTCAAGATGGCTGCGAAGGAAGCTTTGTATCCCGCTGACGGCTCACCACCACATCCGTACAAAGGCAAAGTCTCTGTTCTGAAAGAAGGAGATCGCTGGACCGCTCTGCCGGAAGAAGAGCACATGTACATCCTCGCAACTATGGTCTCGCATCTCGAGAAACCATTCTGCATCTCTCCTGCTACTAAGCCGCTAGACGGGAGTATGCATCTTGTTCATTTCACACCGAGGAGTGGGAATGAGGTCATGAGTATTATGAATAAGGCGTATGATGGGGGTAAACATGTTGGTGGTGGGGATGTGAGATATGAGAGTGTTGATGGGCTGAGGATTGAGTTCGAGGGCAAGGAGGAGAACGGGAGGTGGAGGAGGATATGTGTTGATGGGAAGATTGTACGGTTAGAGAAGGATGGGTGGGTTGAGGTTAGGAGGGTGGAGGAGGGGGGTGGGAAGGGGGTGTTGGATGTTGTTGTTTCAGGGCAGTGAGAGGGATCAGGAGAGGGTGTTTAGGATTGTGCGCGCAAAGATGGACTACGAATGAATGAATGGATGATCTGGATTTCCAAGGCGCGAAAATCTTCAAACTCGCGCCCTTTCTAGTCAGGCCCACTCCTCGGGGTGCAAGTGAGCACAACTTCCGACCTTCAACTCAAAGTACACTCGAAATCATATAGGAACCTCTTTTGCTGAATTTCTGATACCTGATTTCGTGGGTGCTCATCGAACGCGACTGCGGCCGCAGAGCAGTTTGGTCCCCCCCGCCGTCTCCCCTTCATTGGGCCCCCCGCAGTTATCTCCCCTTCACTGGGCCCCCCGTACAAAGACAGCCGAGTTCGAAAATCTGGTCGTTCCTCAATTCTTTTGCCAGTTTTTTTGGACTTGGTCCGCAGGTTAAGGGATGGTGTATCGCTGCACCTTACCCCGCCTTTTCACTCACGTCGCTCGTCTTGTCTTGCTGCGCGTCGACTGCCTTCAGCTTCGACTTGTTTGATCCACTCTTGTGGGAGATCCAGTGTGCTTCCGACCATACCTTCCTGCTCTTTCTCTGTTAACATGCGCCTGCTGACATGGAGGAAGTGCGCCTTGAACGCGTGCCATAATTCCGTGTCAGCATCTGTATGGCCGTATGCAAAAGGTCGGGGGAAGTACGGATCGTTGCGCCAGAACGCATAGACTGCTTGCGCGATACCAGTTGCGTCTTGAGCCATAGGACGTACACAGTCGTAGTCTAGCATCCAGATGACGAGGTCTTCATCCAGCAGCTTGAACATTTGTGTTGGCGTGTCGCCGCTGATAGATGATGTAGCCGGGGCAAGCACAAACTCAACATCATTCGCATCGACTTTAGCCTTCCAGTAACAATGCGCGAGCGCCTCAGCTAGAGTCTTCGCAATGACAACAGCATTCATACCCAGCTCTTCCATTTGATCGACGCAAAGACCATAGTTGCGCAGGTTGAAGAACATGCCAGGCGGGCGTCCTTCTGGTCTCCGTTTGCCCGTGTACACTCGAATGAGACAATCTTCATTCTTCTTACTCCTCCTCGTAGCATCCTTTAGCGACTCACGACAATACCTGTCGATAAGCATCTCGCGAATAGGCAGTCCTACAGCAGGTATCTTCTCCTGCGTGTAACTCCTACTCACCTCTTCACCTGGAGGAAAACAAGTGAAATTGTTATCCCACCAGAAATCATCAGCTTCTAAGACCTCATAAGACCGCGGTATGCGCACAGGTAGCGTGTCTGTGGTATCAGCTGCGATGACTCGTCGGTGCATGTTGTGGTCGTTTAGGACGGAGCGGTTTGTGTGCATGAGTTCGCGTTTGATGACCCAGGGGTTGACTCCGCGGACCCAGATGCTGCCGCAGCATCCTCGGCCTATTTCACGGAAGGGGCCTCTGGGGTTGGGCGTTGTGTTCATGTTTGTGGGTGTGTGTGGTTGAACTGTGAAGGTAAGTGGATGGTGGGATTTATATTCGCTTTTGACTCACACAGACGTCGTGTGGGCGTACTTGTAATATTGGAGTCGGGTAGCCATGGTTTACGATAGGTTGTACCTAGGTAGACGAATTACGAGCCACGTGACACCAATCCTCAGGCGAGATTCGAGCTTGTACGATATCTACGTTGGGTTCACAGCGCGCCTCATTCGGTGAGCTCAGTATAGCGTAACAAGTATGGCCTTGACGGGGCATTGTCGTGTTGTCGTGTTTAAGGCGCATGGCATGAACCACGGTCGAGGTTGCGGTAGCTCCTGCCTTCGAGCCAAACAAGCGTCAGGGTCGTCAGGGTCATCAGGGTCTCGACAAAGGCAGGAACAAAACTCTGCAACTCGCTCCGAGATGTTTCACCTCCCACGCTCACCATCTTCGTTCTCACCCACTCGCATTGTTTCCATCTTCTTTTTTGTAGCCAGATCGTTCGAGTGGACACCTCAGAACGCCTCGAATGGCACTAGAACACGGTCCCTTGGAATACTGGCAGAATGGTACCAGTCGCATTCATGCACCGTCCTGCTTTCATCGACCTTCGGTCGCATGTCCATGAGGGATCTTTTCTTAGCTGCTACAAGTGCCACCGAACAGGCTACCACGATCGTCAAAAGGAAGTACACTCTTGACTCTTTATCAATGCGAGCAACTGCGCTTTCACGAGAACGACAACTCGCGACTGTTGAACCCTTGGCTACACTCCCATACTTGCCGGCATCCAGGGGCTCCGCGGGGTCGAGGAGATTTGATGCCTCAGGTCTTGTTGTTTCCGAAACATGATTATGCCGTCACGTCGAGGATCTCAATCTCACCCATCGCAACTTCGAAGGGTCTATCGCCGCCACGAACGTGGCATCGAACTAGAGGAACGACAATAGGATCGTTTGTCCTAGGCTCAGCCACTTGGATGCCAGTCGTCGCGTCCGCCCAGGAGCACAACTTGGCGCAGTCACGCTACGCCTTCGGATGGCCACGATTCCGGCATTAGGCAAAAGCAAAGAAAGGCACCAAGGACACCAGCACTGGCGTCGCGGCATGTGTTGAGCTCTGGCTTGCTGATTCGAAGCCATGTACGGCTTGCGACGGTGAAAAGCTGATGATGTTCAGATTTCCTGCCCCCACCAGCACCTGCATGGAGCTGACAGTTGCCGGCGACCAAGCTGCAAGCCTATAATTAGGCTGATCCACAGCGGGCGCCAACCGCCCTACAGGGCCGCAATGATGAAAGCGATCGAAAGCAGACCGCATTGTCAAGCGAACCGCGCTCGCAAGTCATTGATCGCATCAATGGCAGCAGGGTAGCAGAAAAAGAAGATTACTCGTGCATCTTGGGTGTTTCTGACATCACATGCACGTGCATGACGCGTTTCGTCACGGCGATCTTGGGCTGACGACCCGGCCACGGCTCAGCGCCTGCAAACCTACTTACACAAGCAGGGGTACCGTCAGCAACGTCCTTATTACTACCCACCTTTGCCGTCGTGGCGCAGCCTCTTCTCTCAAATCGCATCCTCGAGCAATTGACGCAGAAACCTCACACTCACATCGGCCCTACTCGACACTGATCGCCCGCCATGAACATGATGCGCAAGAAGACGCAGTACGTGCAAATCACACCAATACCGTCGTTCATACCGCGCCAGCTCGCAATCGACTTCCTCCACAGCCACGGCGAGATCATCGAGCTGAACCCCCTCGTCACCGGCCACGAGCCCATCAAAGCACCGCGCGACGCTCCCGCAGACGAATACTACTCAACATGGTACGAAATATCGCAGCGCATACAGTACATACCCGGCATTGGCAAGATGGGGAGCGGCGCAATCAAGTTCCGCGGTGTCTTCCACGACCTGCCGTTCGGTCTTCAGACACACACCTACGCGCCTGCGAACGTCGACCTGCGCCAGAAGTGGCATATTGGCGGCAACCAGATTGGCGAGCCACCTGAGCCGAAAGAACTGGGCTCTTCTGCGCCACCGGAGGGACTCTACATTCGCCAGGATGTAGAGATCAAATGCAACGTCGCCATGATGAACTTTGTCAAGAAGGAAATGAAGGCAGCTTGCACGATCATGATCGAGCGGTTGGTCAAGAAGGCGGAGCTGCTCGACTCGGGCGCACTCCAAGCGATGATGGAGAATGGACGGATGAAGACGGTCAACCCAGCTGATCGCTCAACTTACGGTCACACGCCTCCACAGCCATCGCCGACCCAACCCTACCAGATGCCCTTGTCTCCGCACAGGCAAAGCCAACAATGGGCGCAGCCCGCACAGCAGCCCGGCCCTCCTGTCCCACCAAAGCGGCTCCTGGGCACAAACGACGTTGTCATGGAACTACCAGGCGACTTCTACCACCCTCAGCCGTCCCCGTCCCACCTCTCCCCTCACGATAACCGCGCGTCCTCTGCCTCCGAGCCATCACAATACTCGCCAAACCCGCAAGATGCACGCTGGTCGACCGCATCGCACAGCACCGCCAGCTCACGCCCCAGCTCGTATGCGCCATCAGAAGGCATGAAATCGCCAGGGCTAGAACAAAAGGCATTCGCGGCCGAGCTGCCAACGATGGAAGAGACAAAGGAAGAGCACAACAGCCATCAAAGGCGTCCAAGTGGCCAGCAGGGTCAGCAGGCGTATGCATACAACCCGCAGGACTATGCGCGGGCGCCCGGGCAACAGCAGTATGCCAACCCGCCCTACCCAGTGTATGGGCCACGGTAATTGACGAATATGTCACACTTTGGTGTTTCTTTGGACGTACACGCGTAGTAATGTTTTTGAGAGTATGGTGTCCGTAAGGCAGGGCGGCTGTTTGTCTACCTCTTGTCACGATTTACGACTTTTTGCGAAATGCTTTCCAGATATCCCTTTCCGTTAAGTAATGCAATTATACTGTTTCTATATGCACAGACTTGTCATCAAGCATCAACTGCCCAGTGCTGTGTAGCGTCTCGATATCTAGGGTATCACTTCTTGACCATGCGTCAATCGCCAGAACGCCCACAGATACAGATCGATGCTGAACACATCCGCCATCTCCCCGCCGTTCTTGATACTTTACTATACTTGCGTTTGGTTTGGAATGGTTATTTGACTGAGGTGTATTACCTCGTGATTGAGATGTTGAATGATATCTCGTTGTAATTCATACCCGGCAGACAGTGCGTGGTGCTATGTCGCTATGATTAGTGCTGACATGAACCCATGGAAATATGTCTATGTTGCTCTGATATCTCTTCTCTGGCGTCCACCCATACTTAGAGGTACTCTCAGACTGACCGAGAATCAAGGTTCTATTCTTCATACTCGCTTGCTCATATCGACTCACACTCTGCGCTAGTTCAATTGCAGCTCTTTCATTGTAGATGCCTTTTCATATAATTCTCACTAGAATCCGACTTTACATGGAGTGGCTGGGGATAACATCGCCATCAGCTTGGCAGATTCACTCATACTGATTACCAGCTATCATCGAATAGATGCCCACTGTCTGAGGAGCTCTCGTGGTAAGCAACGATGAACAATATCCAAAGACGGAATACATCGTAGACTCCCGCTCGGATGTTAAGAAGGCAAAAGATGACTGGAATACCAGCGAAGACTGCAGGATAGGATTCAACAACGCTCTTACACTCCAGTATGTTTCGATCGATAGCTTGCATAAAGCTCAGGTTCTACAACACATGTACCTGCCTTCTGCCATACGGTCGATCTCATGACCCCTTCAAGCGCTTCGCAGTACATATCCACATCAACTGATTTCAACGAACCCAAGGGATAGCGTGCATGAAACATCAAAACTGTAGTAACCAGCCTGACGTCACAACACAACAACAGACCCTCACTACTACGCTGCGTGCAAAGGCTTGCTTTCTTGGTTCGTGGCGGGATGCCCTCGCACTTGCAGAGGAGATACCTATAGCCACAGCTCACCGGGTGGAGGCTTGCGACGTCTAAGTTCCCGATCGTTAAGGGCTTGGTTTCGAATCTGCCTTGAACCGTGGCCGTGCAGCCCTCGTCCGCTCGTGCGGTAAGCTGATGCTTTGCGCGTAGAGTCAAATCAAGTCAACACAGGTAGCGAGAGGGAAGGTGGAGGAGGTGGACGGGGCTGAAATATACAGAGAAATGCGCTAGTAGACGCTAGCGCAGGCGCTCACTCAGCAAGCACGTGAGTATAGTCCTCAGTCACCGACGCGTCTCCGCCTTCACCGCGCCTTTGCTGACGTAGTCGCGATATCCAAGCCCCTACGAACACCGCAACCGTCTTGGAGGACGTAAATGTGTAGGCATGGAGCCAGATCGTGTTGATACCGATAGGATGGAGGACGATGGGGAAGAGACTGCTGTTCATGTAAGTCTTTCACTGACACCTTGTCGTACCACAACAACAAGAATACTGACCAAAGTATAGCAGCAACGCATCCATACCACCTTCTCTGGTCGTGCGAGCCTCCAAGATCCCGAGCGCACCATCAGTCTCGCATTTCGTCCTGCATATCACGCGGATGGTGTGAATCAAGTGAACAACTGGTTGAATTCGATCAGCAGCCCCAGCAACAGTCCATACTTAACATCTCCGGTTCTTCCTGTTCCACAATGCCCCGCTACACCCTCCATGTTCCAACCAGATTCTTCAACTCCCGCACCCGGTTGCGAACGCATCACCAAGGAGGCGTTTGAGCTTATCTTGGAGCAGAATACAAGATTGAGGCAGGAGCTGGAAACGGCAAACAAGGCTCGCGCGAAGGCGGAAAAGACATGCTCCGATCTGGCGGCTTGGACTTTGTGGGAGCGAGAAAGGTTGATGCGCGAGTTGGAGGAGGCCAGAGCGATACATCGTGCTTTCATCCAGGATGAGGTCGACAAGCTTATCGCCGAAGAGACAGGCCGTCTGACTATGGATCAGTAAGGGAACGGCGATGATGCTCGAAGTTGGTGCATTGTGGTTGGCATCCCCGAAGTACCTATAAGTTATGTTATCAACGTACCTGCACGATATTTGGCAGATAAGGGCTTATTTCTCCTTATGGCATGCAAAGTGATGCGTGAACCGTGTGGCTATTTCTTGATCTGGTATCACGGTGAGACGTCTCGCGCCTTCACCGCCAAGTTCCCCCGGGTTGCAAAGGAAAATTTGGAAGACCTGACGCCGCACCTCCCCACAACACCAACACCACAAACCACTCATACGACATGGCTGATCGTTCTTGGATGCCCGGATGGTTGTGCGCTCCCTTCGCTCCCCCCGCTGAAGATACTACTTCAAATCAGCAGCCTAAGACAAAAGGAAGAACCCACGAGCAAGAACGAGACGTCGGCAGTGACGCAGACGACAGCCCGAAGGACAAGGCCAACGACGATGAGGAGAACAAAGCTTCTACGAGTGACATGCCAGGAAACAACGCGAATACCTCTGGCAATGGCAACGCCACCCTCGGACGCGCGAACACGTTCATCAAGGCCATGTGCAAACACGTCATGGACAAGATCGCCCTGTGCGCCATGCAAGCAAAAGATGCTGTGGCCAGTGCAATCGAAAGGGTTAAGGAACTCGGAGTCAAGGGTCTGGCGAAGGCAGCTCGCGAGTGGATCATGCGGCACCCTTGGGAATTCGCTCTGGTCGTGGTTCCGCTCATTCTGATTGCGCTCACTGCCATCATATTATCAGGTATAGGCTTTGGAGCGGGTGGGATAGTCGCTGGTAGGTCAGATCCATATGTTCGCCGTGGAAAGGAAATACTGACTTTGTCACAGGCAGTACAGCAGCCGCCATGCAAGCGGGTATTGGCAATGTGGTTGCAGGTTCTGTCTTTGCCACTTGTACAAGCGCTATGATGGGCGGGTACGGTGCGCCGATCATCTTCGGGGGTCTTTGGGGCATAACAGCAGCGTTGGTGATCGTAGTCGAGCGAGTTTGGAAGCGCTGGATGGGCCGGTCACAGCAAGCTCTGGTACCTCTGTACATCACCCTACCGACAAGCGCCATTAAGATCGGAAAGCAAGCCGCGTATGCTGCGGTCTTCTATTCGATGTGTGCGGCGGCATACGTGGTATACCGTTTCAAAAGTTGGCAGCAGGGACGCGGGACCGAGAAGCTGAAGAAAGACTAGCCTGTAGAGGCAAACCGAACCAGGTGGAAGGTTTTCGCTTCTATGGGCGCCGGTAATTGGATGTCGTTGTGCAGAGCTGTTTCAGCAGGTCCAATAGTCACTTGTAGGGAGGGGTCACCATCAAAAAGATCCTTCGGCTTTGGGGGTCGCCATGCAGAACGATTATACGGCTTGAACAAGCTTCCCGGTGCAGCACGCTATCGCATCAGCACCGTGAAGAGTTGAAGTAACCATGATCTCGTTAGCAAAGAGTAGTTGTGCGAAGAGTACATGATCATGGCAGCGGGCACGGCGGGGTGCGAGAGCGAACCTCAGTTGGCATGTTGAAAAGTAGAAGATGGCAGTCGATTGATCCCAGTGAAGCGCTGTGTATTAACTTTGAAGATGTAGATTAGCTCATGCCTTCGTTGATCGGAACAGAGTGCAGTCGTGAGTAATTAAGGAGTCGCCCGAGCTGGGATGGAGCGACCCACTAGCGCTGACTAACAATGATGCAGGCCAAGATCGGCGCGGCAAGCCTCACCTCCTTCCTCGCCAGCAACAGACACGTTCATCATGCCACCAGATCGTTCACGCACCACCAACTCACAAGGTAGGCAGAAGTCATGCTCAGAGTGCGCAAAGGCAAAGCGGAAGTGCGGTCTCGAGCAGCCTCATTGCGCACGATGCGCTAGACAGCACTTGCCATGCGTCTATCCTCCACAGCCTCGGCCGCAGGCCGCAATTCCGCAAAACGACTCATCAGCAACACCTATTGACTTTAGCTCATCCAATGCGCCAACAGAGATGCCAGAGATTGATGATGGCTGTGTTGCTTTCGACTTCGATCTACCTGGCATGCCAGTCAACCCCACCGCAGATATCTTAGACTTCGACTTCTGCACCGCAACAGACTCTCTCGACGCGCTTACGGACATGCTCAATACACCAGCTCATCAGGAAGATCAAATGACTTTACAGAAGTCTTATACCCCAGTGAGCCAGCCCTTCTCAGCAAGACACCTGTCACCCTTCGCAAAGTCCAGGGTGGAATACTCAATCGAGCTCGTCAAACTCGCGCCAAAGATGATGGTAGAGCAATGTTGCACACCATGGGCTCACCCTTTGCTTTACGAAGACTACATGCCACGATCATTACAAGACGCACACGCGGCATGTGCCCTCTATGTTACCATGAACGACAACAATGCTGAGCACGTCGCACGGTACATCACCAGTCGCGCAGAAGAGCTCATAACCACTGCTATACCGACTACGCCCATCGAGATTCTAGCTCGCACACAGGCTCTGATATTGTATGAGATCATGCTCATCTTTGGCGGTGACATACGACTATACGCTCGAGCCGACGCCCTGATACCGCATCTGGAAGATGTAGGCGTCGTCCTTCTACCCATCGCAGCAGAGGATCCCGAGCTTCCCGCCACCCTTCCACTTTATCCCAGTACAGCCGCTCGTTCAGCATGGAAGTCATACATCTTTCGCGAGTCAGCCAGACGTACGGCCTTGGTAGCTTTCCACATAACCGTCATATACACCCTGCTGAGCGGGCAGATGAGGTCTTGCGCTAAAGAGCTCTCTTTGAAGAACCGCGTCACGCTTTCTGCACACTTGTGGAAGGCAACGAGCGCTTTTGACTTTGCTATAGCCTGGAATAGCAAGAGTCACTTTGTTATCAAGGAGCTGGACTTCACGGATGTCTTGAGGGGTGCGCAGCCTGATGACCTTGATACGTTCGCTAACATGATGCTCATTGGTCTTCAAGGCATCGACGACATACGGGGCTGGTATCATACACGAGGCGGGGCTCTCACATAGCCTACTCCAATCGACGTCAGCGCGCCTAGACGGGTTCATCTCACTGTCGTCCAATATCAACCAAGGGCCCATACAAGCCAAGCTCCCGGTATCTGACAACTCCAAATGAGCGAAGCTACCTAGTTCTCGCCGTCACCTAGGCCCTGCATAGACGTACCCGGCACCGGTGTCTTATCACAGTCAGTAAAGCTCAAGCAAAACACTACATCATACGACCTACCTCGGGGAAGTTCCACCACCGATCCACGTTTTCGATGAACTCCTCTCCCTTCTGTTTGCCATACTTGATGATCCAAGCCTTCTCAGTATTCGAAAGCGGATGATGGCGCCAGGGACACTTGACACCCATCTCACAGCGTTTCTTCGTAAGGTATGTGGTGAAGCAAAGCCCCAGGTCGTGACGCTGCTCGGAGCCGTACATGCCCGGTGCGATCTTTCCGTTGGCGCCGTTGACGAAGCGCTGGGACTTGGGCTTGGCGGCATATGTGGTGAAGATACGGTAATCGTAGCCGCGGAGGTCGTGCACGGTCGGTGGAAACTCTGCTGTATCGGCGTTTTGGAGGTGCGGCAGGCCCAACTTGGGCTCTTTGGCTGACTTTGCTGTACTGGGCGTTTGGCTGGGTCTGCGGTGCACCGACTGAATTGGCGCATGCTGGACGGTCGGAGTATGCGCTTCTGGACCTTCGTAATGGCGGTAAGGCTCCTCATGCCTCGGATACTCAGGCTGTGGCATCTTCCGACCGGTACTCATTCTTACCGCGGGAGCAACATGGGCCGTCTCTAAAGCGTCGTCGTCCCAGTCCACTTCGTCCTCGACGAAGTACTCTGAACGCGAAGGCGCCTCATCGAAGTGCTCCTGATGGTGTTGCTGCGCATCTTGATCTTGGCCGTACGCTTGCTGGATGTGAGCTTCCAGTCGGCTGGTATCTCTCGTGCGACTAATTCGGAAGGCAGCATCTTGTCTCGGCGACCAATGCCTATCGTCATCGCGGCCACCGTATCGGCCGGCCATAGCCTTCGCCTCATCCGCAGCCACCTCAGCATCAGTCTTGATCTGGCCAACTCGAACCTTGCAAGCACGAGCAATATGTCCCTGCTCTCCACATCGAAAGCAACCCTTCTTATCAGTGAAGGCGGCTTTGCAATCAGCAACCCTATGCCCTTGATAGTCTTAGCAGAGAAGAGTTGAGAATCTGCAAGTATACAACCAACCTTTCTTGTTACAAGCAAAGCACCGCTGGTACTCTGCCTTCTCCGGCTTCCGGTCCTCTCGCTGCGGTTCCACGTCGACTGGCTCCCGACGCAGCGGTGACCGCTCTCGATACCGTGCCCGCTCACCACGCCAATCTTGCTCATCTCGCGGATCTTGACGCCGGGCAGGCGAACGACTACGGTCACGATCTCGCTGTCTCACTCGCAGTTCTTCTTCCGCCCGTGCGTAATTTCGTTTTCGCACAGCTAGCTGCGGACGGCGTCGACCTTGCATTCTCTCGCTGTCCACATCGTCGGAACTTCGACCCACGTTCTCGCGTTCCCTGGGTCCACGCGGTGGAGGCTCGGACGGAGGCGGTGGAGGGTTGTTTGGACCGTACGGACCTGGTTGTGCTGCTGGCCGGTCGAGCATGTTGGGTTGCCGTGACATGTCTGCGAGAGTCAGTGTAGATGGTATGCCAGGTTAGCCAAGATCAATCTAGAGGTATCAAGCTGATTTATTGTGGATGAAGTGGAGCTTCTGTCAGGTGGGAGTAGCAAGTCTACGTGACCGTGTATTGACGCACGGGCCATGAGCGCAGTCACGCAGCGTAGTAACGACCAGCTTGTCGGCCCGTGTTGTACTCCAAGTCATCCATCTTCAATCAACATCCTCCAATTGGTACGTTGTGTCTCCCCGCCGTGCTCATGTTATGAAATTCGTGTACTAATGGTATCTCCTAAGTGTTCTCGCTGTCATGTCGCCCAACGGCCTCGGAGGTCGTCCGCCCACCCAGTTTCTACCCCCCGCTGGTGCCTACTACGATCAATTCGACATCATTGATCTCTTCGGCCCAGACATACCTAGGAAGGGTCTTTGTAGTCACTGTCTACAGCCTGAATGCAGATGCGTCGGAGATCCCACCGGGTGCACGAACGCGTGTGGTATGTGCGGCTGTAAAGACCAGCACGCGAAGGGGGTAAGATGTTCTTCCCACCATCAATATCTCGTGACTGACTTAACATAGCTATGCTCTATGGCTTACTGCTCATTGAAGTGGCGCAAAGAGCACGGATGTATGCCTCAGCCCAATGAGATGGTCGCGCTCCGTCCCGGTATGAACCAGGTCGCAGATCTTCAGAGCCTTGGGATCGTACAGGCTATGTCTCATGTCTCTATGGACGTCTTGCCGAACATGGATCATACGGATGTCAAGGAGTACTATGCTGGTCATACGGTACAGCACAGCCATCGTGTTCGAGTCCTTACGCCCATAGTCTGGATCAACGAGAGCGGAAAGAAGAGCGCAGCTGCTTCTATCAAGTTCAACTCCGGTCAAGCTGCAGCAGCTTCTAGCAAAGTCTCCTCCGCTGCCGACCACCGTATTCCAAACTCTCAGGTTCACGATCTACCCTTCATCGATCCCCAACTCGCGAGAGCCATCCGCCAAGTCACCGAGGAGCCTTCTTCCCATCCGCCAATGGCGATCCCAGGTCTTTGGCTCCAGCCACAAGCTCCACCAGACAACAAGATGCAGCTCCAGATCATTCCTCCTGCTAATACCATCGTCATCCCCCCATCCGGATCCGCACCGCACGTCACGCAAGAGCACGTTATGTCTCCGATAGCAAACCTACAACTATACTACGAGAAGCTGCTCCACGAGCGCGACGAGCGAGAGCTTCAACATATCGCCGAGAGCAAGGACAAGGACAGGATGATCAGGACGCTCAAGGCCCTGCTTGGATGGCCTTTGGACTAGATGCTGGTGAATGGGTCGTGCATTGGGCGAGACGACACTTCATGATGTACCAGGTGGCGTACGATAGCGCAATGGGAAAGAGCTGATGAGTTGGTATTTTTTTGGGAACAAGAACAACGAGTCTGGACACTACATCGACGCCAGATTGCCTATTTTGTGTGCTTTCATGCTGATGTAGGCTGCTGGCCTGTTCAGTTGTTTTCTGGGTTGACGTGGTCCGAAGCACTTCTACGATTCTAGATCATTCTGTATACAGTTCAGTGCTGCTCATCTTCTGCTTCCAGTGATTCTGTTTTCCAGTTTTATACGTGCTGGACACATACCTAGGTACCCAGAGGAGCGCGTCAGGTGATGTCACAGCCACGTGCTCCCGGGTTACAGTCGTGCCTTCCTATCTGGATAACTAGGTGAGAGCAACGCGCCAAGCCGAGACGCGTCGTTGTCAACAAACAGCCAAACACTCGACTTACCCGTGCACACAGACATCACCCACCCCGACACTCCGCGATGGCCAATCTATATCTGATGCAAGCCTTGTACGCCCCGAAGCCGCCTCGGTCTACTCCTAGTCCTGCTGTTTCTGCGCTCGACGACGTGCAGCGAGAACAAAGGCAGTCTGCAACCCCCGAGCAAGCCATACATGGTGAGCGCCTCAGAATGATGGAAGTTGAAGGTAAGAACCCAAAAAGCTGTTTTCAACCCTACTGACCATAGCAGAACCGCCTGAACCCGACTCGGAGGCCGTTGCGCGCTGGAAACCGACTGGTGCCAATATTCAGTCAGTCGGCATCAAGAGCGAGCTCCCGAGCTCCGACGCTGCGGACAGATTCTTGGAATCGCTCCCGTCTTTTCCTGGCAACATCGCTGTCACGCCTTCTTCACCCTCGTCGATGACACTGCCTGACGGCCTCACTTACCCAATTGAGCGATACCTACCACCTGTGGGACCATACTACGACCAGAATGCTCTCCTTCCCGTCTTTGGCCCGATGTTCTTCAAGTACAAACCCTGTATGATCTGTTGGACCTGCCACCCCGCCGCAGGTTATTCAACCACGTCTTGCGGGAAGGTATGCAAGGTCTGCGGAACCCGCCGCCACCCTAACGAGGTAAGTACTATCGTGAATGCGCAGTAGCACTGCTGACATAGGCGCTAGAGCTGTTCCCTATTCTACTGTAATAGAGACTGGTATCGCCAGCAGGAGATTCCATGCGGTCCCAACACCCTTCGAGATCGACAAATCCGTCCGGACAAACAAGAGCTCGCCGTCCTCTCTTATATCGGTGTCATGTATCTTGCACGCGGTCCAAACAACACTGTTCTTGTGAACTCAAGGCATCCGATCGTTCAAAACTTCTACAAGGACAAGCCAAGGTCGAAGGCACTGATGCGGAAGATATTCGAAGCGGACCCGAGGCATCACTCGGCGTCCATTCCATCGCGCCGTGGGCCAACGCTCGTGGCGAACGCCCCTCAGCAGCAACCCCTCCCGCCACCGATGGGCTCATACACCATACCGATAAGATCCGTGGACAACAGCCTCGACCCGCGTCTCCAGGGTCGCACGTCATATGGCGCGCCCGGCCAACTGGCGCTTCCGCAGCCCGATACCGCCAGCAACAGTAGCGAAACCCCGACTGACCCAGAAGACATCGAAAGGAAGCTTCAGGATCAGGAGGTCGAGAATCTGAACTTGAGAATGCAGGCAGTTGTGAAGGATCGTGAGATTCGGAAGCTGAGGGCGGAGCTCGAGCAGCTGCGCGCTCAAGCTGCTGACACAGGTGGCGCATACTAGACCATTAGCGGGTAGCCTTTTTGCAGGCTACGGTGTGCAGCTGGGTTGTCGATGATCGTGGGAGGATGTGCGTGTATGTATGGGAAGACATATGTACCCAGTCTCTGGAGATTACATGAGTATGAAAATGAAAGTTTGCAATATTTCAAAGCAATGTAGACTTCTGGGTAACTTTGTTGACATTGAACGTGAGTCGGCGTGGACGCGTGGCGAAAGTGGAGGTGGGATGACTAATCTAGCGGCAAACCTCGATCCCCGAAATTCCGACGACGCGTCTTCATCACTCTTTCCACACGCTCGTCCAGTCGCGCATCGCGAAGGATCGCAGCAGCCGCGCACCATCACAACCACGCACGTCAACATCTGTCCCTGGTCTCATTCTTCCAACGGGTTTCACACTGATAGCGACGACGACTACATGAATTCCGAATGAGTTGATGGCAAGGGACTGGGCACGACTGCAGGTCGGTCATGGTTCGGTTTGCGCATCAAGCCTGCGCCGCCTTTTGCGCAGTCGCCTTCACTGCTGACTTTTGCACGTCATTTTCAAGCGCGGAGACTTATGCATTTCCAGTAGATCTTCAAGCCGTTTAGCAGCTTCGCGTCTTTATCGTGCTGTACAAGTCAATTCTTTTGTTGCTGTATCGCTTGCTACAGCACACAGATACACCTTTCGAAGTATAAGAGTCTTATCAGAGGTATCATGCTCGTATGACTTGATTACCGTCATGGAACATGCATGTCGGGCAGTGCTGCAGTAGATGTTTGATGCGCTCTAAAGGTGTTGTCGCTAGAATCTACGTTGCCGCTATCTAGCTTGCGAAAGCGACGGCACATCGCCTCAGGTCCCACCCGTCCTCCGATCCATCGCCGTGAGCGACCACTCCTCATGTCCTGGGCCCCTTCGCGCCCTTAGAACCGCCGCCAGCAGTCAATTCCGCAATCCGAGCGTCTTTCGCAATCAGCTCAATGCGAACTTGTTCGATCGCTTCGGTTAGGCGCCTGTTCTCGGCTTGTAGGGAGCGGATGGCCTCAGACTGATGCGCGAACTCCTGAACAGAGGTGCTCGCTTCTCCGGCGCCATCGCCAGACTCATGTGTGACATGTGTGACTGGTTGATCGTCGCGTTCGGTTGGAAGGTCGTCTGGGAATACAATGTCAGCTCAACTGACCAAGAGAGGGAATACAAGTGATCCTGGCCTATATGAGGTCGTCGCGCAGTCATACGCAGCCACCGCAGGCTGCTTGAAGTCTATCGCGCTACCTCATGACGTCGGCGTCGGTAACACAAAAGTACGACGTATGCTTACACTTACGTTTTACGCCACCTTCTGTCCGCCTTGCTGTTACCACAGGCGCTTTCTGTCGCGGGTCGGGAGCTCTGTCGCGGTGGCCATATACAGAAGCGGTGTCGCGTTGTTCCGACATCGCGTCGATACTCGACGAAAGAGGTTGCGGCTTGAGTGTAGAAAGATGAAGTGTGGGTGGCGTTCGATGCGAACGGTGTGGGAGAGGGTGAGTGGGAGGTGTTGGGCAATGTCCGACTATGGCGCGATATATTCATATCACGACTTAGCGTCACGCGCAGAGACTTTCGACTTGTCTCTTTCACTATCTGATCAACTTCGAGACGATGCAGGTTAGGATACTGTTCGAGCGCTCGAACGAAGTCGTTGCACTCCCGTCACCAAGATTGGGTCGCGACGGAAGTCTGACAAAGGGCACGACAAGGAGATCATATTGCAACTACTAGGACGCGCATAATGACGGCTCGCCAGTCACCATCAAACAGACTTCCAATCATGGCCCCGACATCGAATGGACACATACGCTTCTCCCGAGACATGGCCCATATGCTACGCGCAGCGAGAATCTCGACCGCACAACATCTCTCTCAGCATTGCTATAGCCAATGTTCGCATCTTTACTGCGTATCGGCTTTGTCCCCACTCTGAGTACACATCCAAAGTCACTGGCCGATGACGCGCTAACGCTATCGAGATCGGGCTAGACCGACTGCGCGGTTTCTGCCTGGACCCTTCAACCGCTGCCTTCACTTTCTGTCTCATCGCCCAATCCATCCTCATCAACACGTCAACTCGACTTTTGGACGTTGGGTATGGCGCCGCGCAACCGGCTAGACGCGCCAGCGGCGGCCCTCAACCCAGAGCGATCCGATGACGAGGTCTTCCTCGACCGATTTGCAGATAACCCTCTCGGCGGCACAAAGTTGTACGAATTCTTTCTTTCTTGGCCCGCAAACGACTACTTCCCTTCTCGTCAAGAAGTGGAGCGAATTGCCCAACACCAAGTTGACACCATATTCGGCGCCTTCGACAGAGTACGTTACATCCTGGAACGCCACGAAGACACCATTAGGAAGCGATGGACCAAGAAGAGTACCAGCAAGAAAAGGAAGCTTCTGCTTGCGGCGCAGCCGAACATGCCAAACGAACATCGACCTGACATGGACGCTGATAACGCGGTGATATTCTCGTTTCCGCCAGGTCAGGGTGTGATGGATTTCGCGACAAGTATGGCAATTGCGAAGAATAGCGAAGCTTGCATGGTCCCATTCCTGAACATGGAGGACCTTCTCCAACCCGGAACCTTTCTGACTTTGTTGAGCTCGCGTGGCCATAACCCCATAGCGTCGTTCAGCCAAACGGAACTCCTCCATGCCCCACTCGCCCGTTGGCTAGAGGAGACCCTTCAATCCCACCTGCAAACATACACAATGCTCTTAGCAGGAAGAGATACGCGAGATACGTACGGCCGGCTGAAGTTTTGGAGAAGCAAGAGCGAAGCCCACCAATCGATCCACAAGGGTAGAAGCGTGTATCCGGGTCATGGCTTACAGATCCTGGGCATACAGAAGATACTGTATACATTCCTCCAGCGATGCTGCTTTCTTCTGGTAGGCGATCTCTTGTCAAGTGAGAAAGCACGTCTGGACCAATACCCTGTCATACGCCGACCGACATCTTTGTTCAATGCCGCTACCGATCACAAGAACCGAGCAGAAGTCTCGCTGATGACTCCGTACGGAGTCCCTGCACAGTTGAGCTTCGGCCGTCTACGTTGTCTGATCAGCTCAAAAGTCGGTGAACTAGAAGATCACATCTGGGCATTACGCGAAGACCCTGGCTACTTCTCAGAGGTGTTCAACGACTACAAGTCACATCGTACTGAGTACATCGTTTCTATGGACGGCAATGTCAACGCTATAATGAAGGAGCAGCCCCATGCGATCTTTGCCCTCATCCTTCGGGAACTCATCACTGATCCATACTATGAATTATCCTATTGGCATGAGTGTCTCCGTCTCCTTGACCGCCTGACCTCCACAGCCTTGCGTCATGGCTTCCAGTTCGATTCAAACAAAGAGCTACCAGAAGACTATCGAAAAGACATTCTGAGGCTGTGGTCGACTCTAAACGCAATCCACATGGATGTCCATGAGTGCTTCCGTCAGCGCGTTCCCGCCACACCAGGCATGCGACCCTATTTTGTCAAGGCAAAGGCAGACCCAAACAATGGAGGCTGCGGTTTCATAATCGCGAGATCAAAAGCAGCGGGAGATCCAGTCACTCTCAGATTTCTCAACGTTTTGACCCGTATCACCAATGCGCGCAACCCACCCAAAGAGGCTTTCGTGGCTGAACTGGACGACCTAGAGAGGCTGGTGATCAAACATCCTGCCGCCAAAGACCTTCTGTCGCCATTTGTATGGGCCGATTTTTCTCAACTGTCAGTCTCGTCGGAATGCATCCAACAAATCCGGTCTTACCAACCGTGGTCAACACAGATCGAATATGAGATGGATTCTCGAATGCATGAGTTGAGCCTGGAATTCCGTCACTTCACAGAAGTATGGGGACCTGTATCGGGTATGCGACGTTTTGATGATGTCAAGTTGGCGCGTATGGCAGATCCCGCAGACGGGAAATTCCATTATCCAATCACGGAACGACGTAGTCGTACGATAACGGACACCTTACGCCTGGCGGAAAAGAACCTGGATGCTTTCTGGAAGACCGCCGACGCGTTCTGCAAGAGGCTGGCGGGAGCAAGCTTTCCGGACATCTTGAAGCGTGATATCACCCGCGGTCGCTCTATTCGTCGCACTGCAGCATGGACTGAGCCGACCACCCATCGTGACGAGAGACCTCAACCCCAGTCTATATACAAGGCTCTCCCATCCGAGAGTCGTAGTGGTGACGAAGACATCAGATCATTGGCGAAAATCAAGAAGAAGATCAAGACCCGTGGTACCTGCGGCCCCGCCAGTCTCGCTGATATACAAGAACCCGAATCCTTTGAGCGCTTGGACTCTCCACCGCCACAAGTGACAGTTGACAAGCGCTCTCACTTGGTCTTTAAGACCCTGTTCTTCTCGCCTTCCGCACGAGACGTACCAGGTGAAGTATCCTGGAAGGATTTCGTTCACGCTATGGTGCAGCGCGGCTTTGAAGCAGAGAAACTCCATGGGTCTGCGTGGAGATTCACACCGGCTTTGAACACAGAGCGTGCGATCCAGTTCCATGCTCCACACGGCGCGCTCAGCAAACTTCCTTTGACGTGGGCGAGGCGATATGGCAGACGACTGGAGAGAGAGTATGGGTGGACGGGTGAGATGTTTACTCTTGCCTAGACATGCCTGCGCGCATTGGATCGACGTTTGGCTGTCCCAACAACATGCATGACTAGGCGCTGAAGCTGCGTTTGGGGTTTGGATTGACTAGATGGCTCAGTGAAAGGTACGCGTTGGAAGACATGACATGCGATATCACGATGAGGAAAGGATGTGCGACCGTGACGACTTCATATGCAAGAGCGGCAAGACATGTACTAGTATACATGCTCCACACCAAGTAGTCAAACTCGATGGCCTTCAATACCGCGTGCCAGATCCGTCCTGTTCCTCCCACTTCCTGTCATCCCAGGAGCTACATGCTTGCTTCAGCTTGACGCTATGTATCCACAGTCCCATAACATCCTTCCTTCAAACTCCACTCAGCAGGCAAAGAGCAGGTCTCGTTTCAAACCAACGCTTTGACAAAGACCTTGCTCTCTCGTCTTCCCCCTTCACATGCCCGGCTCATAATGATCACCACCAGTCGACACCTTCCCGCGGCGCTCCCCTTGGCGAATCCTGGTAAGTACACGTCTTCTGTATCTCGGTTTCATCCGATTGTAGATAGCCAAAGCCGCGATGTCATCGTCGTCAAATGCCGCCAGGACCCTCCTATCGTACCCCTTGTCAGTCCTGTTTTTCCAACTGCGCTTGGCGTGCTCGTAATCAGTCTCGACGAAGCTTAAGTCATGGCGTGGCCAGACCGCAACGGCTTTGGCAATCGCCGCAAGGGCCTTGTGCTCGTCCCATCCGGTATAGTCGATGCCCGTAGCTTCTGCGGCTTTGGACATGGCTATTGGGACGAAATGTTCGAAGCGCGCAAGGAGTGCTTTGTCTCGAGTGTGATGCGTTGAAAGGCTTCGTTCGCGTGAATCGGGGTAGTCGTCACTGTACTCGTATTAGTGAGCCTGATCGGCCTTGGAAGCGATGGTCGCTTTCATGTCAGTGTCTGCCGTCTCTGTCTTGATGAAAGGCATAAGCTCGGCATTTGAAACATCAAATGCGGCTTCGATGTCAGTATCTTCGGTCTCCGCTTTGATGAAAGGCAAAAGCTCGGCATCCGACGCATCAAGTGCAGCTTCGAGAGGACCGTATAGCGCATCCAACCCGGACACGAAGTCATTGAATGCCAAGCTTTGCTCCTTGAGAGGAGATCGCGCGAAAGCCATCATGTCTGACGCAGAGCGAGAGCTTGATGGTGGCGTTGAACAAGATTTCATTGTTCTCATCCAAAAATTTAACATCGACTAGCGCTCTTGGCGCGCAAACAGAGTTGTTCAAGTTTTCCCATCCGTTGCCATGAACACAACGATCACGTGATTACGCGGGACGCTAAGCGCACAGTCCGCGCTTTCCCACCTTCTGCTCCGCGATGACAGCTCTGCTCAGATTTTTCTCCAGTCATCAACAAGTGAGTGAAGAGGTCCTATTGTTGCGGCACCCTACTGACATATAGCAGATGTATCTACAAAGACATGATGATCCTCAATTCCAGTACCAACATCCCATTGGATCACGGCCTCAACATCCGCCTGTGAACTACACAGTCCACCAACCTCGACATGATATACCGCTTCGGCAGTATCCGCTGCATCCGCAGCAACAGCCACCTCAACAACCGCAATACACTCCACTGCGGCAGTGTCTTGTGGCATCTCAACATGCTCCAGCACTACAACAACACTATGTGTCGCAGGCACACTACCCTGCGCCACTACTGGAGAGCTTTACCCCACCAATGAATTGCTATGCGCCATCGACACAGTATTTTTCACACCAACCGCAGTTCCTTCCGCCTGCGCAGAGGAATCTACCGCCTGAACAACACGCGACGCTACCACACCATCCTTATATCCCACCAGTGCAACGTGCTGCGCCTCCACCTCAGTACGAACCACCGCAACCGTACAACCCCGGCCCACAACAGCAGCACTATGCACCCCAGCAATCATACCATCAAGCACCCCAGCAATGCGTCCCACCGCCTCAACCGGCCTACCCGCAACAATTGCAGCTTCATCACAATATGCCGCATGTCGGGCCAGTACACGTGCTACCTCAGGCTCCGCCACTCTATGATATCGCGAAGACGCCACTTACACGATGTGCGCCAATCTGTGAAACAGAATGCGGCTTGCAATCTCAAGGAGGTTTACCCGCATCGTTTCAACAGCCGCGGTTTTCTCAACAAATCTCTGGCGCACCGGCAGTCTCAAATGAATACGCGTATCATCCACCACAGCCGCAGACTCCCAATGCTCTAGTAGTACCAAGATCGTCAGCAGCGGAGTACCAATCGTATACATCACAGGTTTCCAATTTGGATATGAGCTCGAACGATCAGATCGCTACCGAGATTCAACGGGGAGAGATATGCAGCAGCCAACCAATACTGCCAGTTCGTATCGCACCCGAACAGACTCGTGCCGGTAATGCGCCTATGATTATAGTCGAAGCATCGAGGACATCCACGCCAAAGACAAATTCAGAAAATTTGGCGTTGAGCGAGGATGACAGTTGCTATCCATATGTTTCAGAGGTCTCTTTCGGAAGTCTTCTTCACAAAGAACAAATTCTTCTGGGAGTTCTACAATGGGAGGCATCGATGGCCGCTCAAGCGCGAGCAAAGAAGGTTGCCCAAGCGAGAATCAGCTCAACTGGTAAACTCGACACGCTGCCTCCTCCCCGAGATGAGTACTTTGATACAGTTCCTTGGATAACGTCACATCGGCCAGTGATGCCACATCACGTTTACCCCAAGAACAGAGACGGATCGCGCAATTCCGGATTGCTTTGGGCCGCGCGGTACCTTTGTAGCAAGTCCAATCAGCTGGGGCTTTGTTGGTATACATTCGGCACCCCGGGTAGCTGCCCCCTTGGTGCCTCCTGCCGATGGGACCACAGTTTACCATGGACAACTCTCGAATTTCTCATCACCAGCGGGCGAGTCTCTGTGCAGCTTGCTCGCCAACTCATGGCAAATTGGAACACAAATGAACATTCAGATCTACATCCAATGGTCGTATCCCGCATGAAAGCGATTAAATTAGGTCTTGGTGAGCGCCTTGAACCAAAGGTGCTACCCAGCCAACGTGCAAACTCACGGTCATGGGACGATACCCACTGAGCATTAGCTCTCGTGCAACAACGTCCTCCATTTCTCTTCATGCTAACCTGTTCTCGCCATGTCGCTAGACTTTGAAACCCCCGTTTCGTCAAGTTTGTTTTCTCGCTTCTTCAATTTGCGCTCTTTCATGCACTTGCATTATTGCATGGCCGTACCGTTCCAGTACGGTATTTCATATTCTCATCTGTGGTCAGATTCAGTCTGATGATGTTCTTGGGCTATACGCAATTGCGTATAGCTTCTTAGGTCTCTGGTAAGCAACGCTGCTTACCGTGTGTTGTCATTCGGCTGTACTTTGGGTATGGTATTGCTCGTGATCTTACTGTTCTTTGACTCTGGCTATACCTCAAGGTATGGTATTGCTTGATCTTCCATTCTTCTGGCTATGCAGTAGCGCATAGTGTTTCTTTCACATCCTGACGGCGTGCGACATCTCCGCGCTCTTGCCATCGACTGCCATGCAAAAGGGTGGTTGAAGATGAACCACACTTTTTGTGACAGCAAGAGGCTTGGAAGGATGGCCCGGGATCTGTTTGATGCTGGGTTGGGTTCGTTACGTGTTCGCATTGCCGCTAGGTGGGCGTGTATTCGCCAGAGCATATGTTCACCCAACTGCAGTTCCCCGCAGTTCAATCAAGGTCTCACTAGCTCTTACTGCACGATTTCATCCTGTATTCATTCTTGAAGCACTATTAAGACTTCAAAAATTATTGTTCACAGCTCTTTCATCTCGTGATTCCTCGTGTGCGAACTCGATCGCCGCGATGACAGCACTTGACGCTACGTATGTCGATGGAGAACACAGCGCTATCACGGTACGCACAATTTGCGATGCGGTATGAACTGATGATGAGTCTACTTAGCTAGCTTCTGGGTATCTGGCTCACCATCATGGGATGGTCCAAACGGGTATGGTGACGCGCCACGCTAAGCGCACGGTTCTCGCACAGTCTGTAAACGCTCGTCGAGCTTACTCTTTTTCTCTCTACTCACACAAGAATACGAAATACACAATGACTCATAAGAGAAGACACGAATTTAATTTCAACAAAAAGAATCGCAAGCGCTCGAACAGCATCAAAGACGCAGATTGCGATGCCAAAATCAACCTCAACAAACCAGAACAACACCCCGATCACTTCAAAAAGCGAGGTCAGAAACCTGCACCACCAGCTTCAAGAGACACACTAATATTTTACTGGGTGCAGGGACATTAACAGACCATGACGACGATTCCTACGATGACCAATACCTGCCAGAAGACATCGATTCTATATATCCCGATGACGACAATACCCTCTTGTACGATAGCAACGGCGACTGCTATCATTACGAGGCTGTTATGCCAAGCTCCAATACAGCAGATCTCGATACCCACCCAGTACCTATCGAGACTCAGCATGTCCTCTCCACCAAAACCGCAGCAGAGGTGATTGAAGTAAAGCTAGAGGAAGAGATCGAGACGCTTGAGATCCGTCACTCAGCGTCATGGATCGAAGGAAAAGAACAAGCAAAAGGCACTTGCAACATAGTATCGCTCCAGTCACCACCATGGACTACAGATCTCCCTGCGAAGAGACCGTATCATGGCTACGGTATCACACCCGGAGGCTTGCCACGGCACGGCCGACTCTCACCTTGGCTCTACCTTTGCGATCACACCTGCGATCTGGGTTTATGCGACATCACCTTCCGGTTACCCCATACTTGTCCGCTCGGTTCAGGCTGTCGCTGGAGACACGAGATTCTGTGGGACGAGCTGAGCTTCCTTATAACCAGCGGTCGACTCACCCTCCGACGTGCTCGTGTCATGCTCGCAAACTGGCAGTCATCTGCGTCGTTGGATGATGACGTTGACGCTTGGCACCGAATGAACGCCATAATCGACCGTCTACAGTATCTCGAGGCGCCAGCTATACTTAGATACACATATCCGTATCTGTTTCCCGTCCGCGACTCCCACGCTCTCTTCGAGAGACTGAGCGACTGATAGCGCGTTGGAGTATAAACCACAACATCTTATCAAGAATGCAGCGCAAAGCTCTTTCTCACACAATACACGATGTCTGGCTAGCAAGCAGCGCACCCAAGCACATTTCGCTTGCTGAACGCCGCACTTGCCGACACAGAACATGAAACCTCCTCGCGCCGAGGCACCGGAACTCAAAGCCTTTCTAATCAGCCGGAAGAACTTGTCCGTCCTGGTAGCCTTTGGTAGCAGCCTCTAGCGCCTTCCATGCTACCCGCTTCTTGCGCAGTCGTTGCTCTCAAGCTTCACTTCCGCATCAAGCGTAGCTCACTCCATACTCTTTAGATCTTTGCAGTCCGCTATGATCTTTGAGTGTGTGAGACTCGTCATCGTGGGATCTGGTGCTGTCTTGATCGCTTTTGTGATCTGATAGTCGCCGTGATCGTGCGATGCACCAGCCATGAGCCATTGCCTGATACGCATCGGTCTTGCGCTTTGTCACCTGTGGACAAAGCCGTTGTCTGATGCCAATCGGTCTAGCGCTCTACTCTAGTGTCAGGTCGATCTGCTGTGCTCGCATAGCTTGATCGTAGACCCATTAGTTGATGGGGGAAAGAGGTGAGGGTGTACGACTAGAATGGTCAAGATAGTCACAGCATGTAAAGTACACGAGTAGCAGTACCACACCTTGTGCATTCTCTTCCTTCTTCCCGTGTCTTCGTTCGCATCGTACTATCTAACCCATGAGTCGTACACGATGCCTGTCAGCGCCACACAAGTATATCATTCCGATCTTCACACGCGTTCGGCATCGTCACCGCCAACATCTGTGATGTGGAACAGCAACATGATATCCCACTTCTCCTTGAATATAGTAACCTTGTCGACAGTCTTGTGACCTAGTCCCTTCCTATGCTGTATGAGTAGGTAAGCGACACCGGAACCATTCGGTGAGCCTAACAATGCATTAAACTCCACTGAGCCTGTGCTGTATGTTGTCCCCGGCCATTCTTTTGCAACAAGTCTGCCCTGTAACATTAGAAAGGTCACGGCAAAGCGCGTGACATCGTTGAGGACGTTGTGTCGAAGTACGTAACGTAGGTTTGACTTCTCGTTGGCTTTTGACAGCCATTGGAGATACGCTACATCCGACCAGTGTTTCAATTTCGGGATAACTGAGTAGCATCGTGCGCACTCTTCAATCATGGCTCGGGCTGTGTAGTTGTCATACGCCACTATAATTCCATCCGAGGGGTTGATGACTTGGCAAAACAACGCTTCCGTTGCTGCACAGCCTTGACCACCCACCGCTTTCGGGTCCTCGCGTTGGTGACCGACGCAAAAGTTGGGTCCTTCATTCTCATCAAACTCCCCATTTAGTCCAATGAGCCACAGAATGTCGCAGAACCATTCCTTTGCGGTATCTGGGTATGTAAATTCGTCCTCTTCGTACCCCCATTTTTGGAGATCTTGCACAGCTGTGAATACACTTTCAGTCGATTCTGATGGTTCTGCGATCATCAGTTTAGATAGCTGGGCGCCTTTTACAACAAGCCTCTCGAACTTTTGGCTAACGCGCCACCAATCAACTTGCTTCGCATCGTTCGAGCTACCCGTGTCTACTTTTAGCGACACCGCAAGCTCCTCAAACGGTGATAAGTTTGGATGCGCGGCTGGAGCTGGGCTCAAATCTTCCACCGGACGGGTTTGAGGATTTGACGTCATCTTTTGAAGGAGTCTGTGAAACATGTCGGGATGAAACTAAGGTGGTATTCAGATGCGGTAAGTAAACCTGGCATGACAGAGCCTTTGTATACCAAGTGGACGCTGTGACGAGCTACATTTGTTCACGAACAACTGTGAAACACAGTGTTGTCAATATCTCCGGTACGTGAGACTTACCAAGGGTGCCGATTCATTGTGTAATGATATGCGCTCGCGCCTGTTTCCATCTCTTCCTGGTGGTGGAATAGCGCATCTCTTCTTCCTCTGAGTGAATGCTAACAAAAGCTGGGAAACGCCCGTCACGGTGTTTTGAAGCCATGCAGGGCCGCAATAAAAGTCCCTTAGATGAAAGTGCTGTCGCGAGATGTCCGATCGCGCATCTGGTTTCGGGCATCGTGCTACACTTGATGCGATCTTAGGGCTTAAAAGGAAAACTGCACAGTATTAAATGTGGATGATGGTGATGGTTCGTGACAGAATGCAGTTGTTGCAGCTTGCTTGAGGAATGGTCCCAGATCTGCGCGACATCGAAGGTTCGGGGTCGGAACCTTGGAAGCGCCGACGCTATGCCCGACAAGGAACCAGTCACGTGGGCACGCAGATCATGCCATCATCCCGATGTTCCGAGAACGCATCTTGATCACTCGTTTCCATCCTCAAACCTTGCGCCTGATCACCTTTCATCACAGTATTTGGGCGCAGCAATCCTACATGCTTTACCAAAAGTGTCACTCACCAGGCGTGTGGTATATACAGTCAACACGGGATGGACAGGAATTATCACTCGCCGCAGCTGTACTCTTTTCGCTCTTTTCGCCGCTTACATCGAGCTCCACTTCATGATGATGTTGTGTTGTTCAATGACTTTTTCGTGTATGGCTGGCATTGTTCATCTGTGTAGAGAACACATTTCGCTGAACCATACGTCGTTTTTCCTCCTACATGCCTCTTGTGGTATTAAGGCCGACCGTCGTATCTGCCACCGTATGTCTCAAACGTTGGTTGTACCTCTTTTTCGTACTCGCGCCTCTTGATGTATGCATCAACTCCTCGCGTGCTTGTTCCGTACATTTTCCAGGGCTGACCTTGCGAGCTCTATCGCGTCCTCCAATTCACGGATCAAGGCGTTCGACTCTTCAAGCTCTTTGCCCTGATCTGATAGCCTTTGTTCTAGCTCTGCCGCCTTCGCATCCCTCTCCGCGATCATTCCACGCAGCTGCTCTACCGTCGTAAGCGGCAACGCCTGTTTCTCTGCCCCATCCCTCTCGGTCGCAGCCTCTTGTAGTGATTGGAACACCTCTTCATGCTCTTGCTTGATGTGAGGTCGGGTCGCCGTATGCGGCTTTGCGATGTTGCGAAGTGGGAGATCGACCGATGCGGTACCTGTGGTCGGCAGGGCGGTCGCCAGGACAGGCGCTGTCTTCGGGTCGTTGACGGTCGCTGTCGGTATTGTAGTTAGCTTTGCTCAGTCTAGAGTTACCCTAAGCCCAGAGTCGGTGCCTGGCTACGAGTCCCTTCAGAGCGGGGAGTTACTCACAGTCGTACTCTTCGTATGGCTTGTCCCCGGTCGCGGATCGCGGGGCGGGCGCCTTCTCTGCACGTAGCGCCGGATTCAACGGATGAGACGTCATTGTTATAGCGGTCTGTGTCAAAGATACAAGAAATGGGTTGGAAGGGAGGCGCGTGTATTGGGTGCAAGTTGTACGAAAAGTTGGCAAGGATAGTATACAAGCGCTACGTTTTGGACAAGTCAGAAACCCTTGAACCGTGCGGGAAGGTCTGGGCCAGCGAACTCGCTCTTTCATGGCATGATGAATTTTGATAGAGCGCACATTCACATTTGTGAACAAGGAGCAGATCGGCCGCGGACGTCAAGACATTTTCGCAAGCTATAGTAGAAGGAATGCGCCAGGTCGAGTCTGCCGCGATACGAGCGAGCGGAATGTAGGAAAGGGGATACAGAACATGCGTACACCTAAATGGAAGAGAAGGCAGCCAGGTAAATTCATAGCTTGACTACGAATTGATATCGGACTCGTGGTCACCTCACATGGAACTTTGACGACTCAACGTCATTCACGCATAGAACTCGCCAATGTCCGAAGACCTTGATTTGGGTATATTAGAGAAAGCAGCGCCATCATCCCAGCAAGTGTCGCGCGTCCTTATGCTCGCACGACACGCCGAGGTAAGGTCAACTACCCTGTCTTTCGAATCAGGACAGAGCTTTGAGTTACATGTATACAGACGCGCGTCGCAATGATCGCTCATCGAAAAGCAAGCAACGAGTGTACGGATCCACTCGAAGCATGAAGCAAAGAAACGAAAGAGGAAGGTCTATAATTCTTCCTCAGTTCGGTCCATGAGGGCCCAACGGGACCTTCTCATCCTCCACTGGCGCTGAGGCTTCGTCGTCTTGGTCTTGTTGTACTTTGACATCTTCTTTTTGGACGTCATTGGCTTGTGCCCCACCATTCTCAGCATCCTCGTCATCCATATCAGCTGCTGTGTTCTGTACAGGAAGGGGCTGGTTGGTCTTGTCCTCAGCGCCTTGCGTTGATGAGGTAGCTGGTGGCGACTAGGTTGGGGCCTCTTCTGTTTGCATGGAGGCAGGAGCTGCGTCCGCAGTCGGGGTAACATCTGGAGCAACTTTTGTCTTTGCGGCGCCTGTTGGCTTGTATGTCTCATTGAAGACATGGGGTTCGGTGGTCGCCGAATTCTTCTCAAGTTCATGGTCCCGCCGTCGCTCTTCTTCATGTCCGCTTCGAAGTTGCCGGATCCTGTAGGAGCATTATCTTTTCGAGGCGGACGATTCTGGGCTTGGCCTTGAGAAAGCTGACCAGATCAATCCTTGGGAAGGGATGGGTACTGGGGGGAGAACTGGAGGCGCATCTGCTTCGGAGTCGGCGCTCGGTTTGAGGGCTCGCTGGGAACCATAAGTGCTGAGTAAGTCGGGAGCTTGACCCGGTTGTAGTGATATACAATCTTCATGATGTCGACCTTGTGGACGCAGAAGTCAATTAGCGCCTGGGAGATGGAGTGCTCCTACTTATACTAGTCTGGTAGGGCACAGTTCGGGCAGGAGTTGGATTCCTTTGCCGCAGACTGGTCGTAAAAGATATCAGGACATTCATCAGCGTAGAGATGAAAGTACTTGCCAGCCCTCGCAATACCATCCCTGTCGGTCGAGGTGGACTGTCTGGGAGGAAACGGGCATTGACCACTGGGGCGGTCGGCATCTATTGTGTCCAGAAACCTCCAGAACTCCTCCGGTGTATTGCACACTACTGCTTGGTTCTGGGTCTGCTGTCCAGCGGGATTGGAGTGCTTTTGAGCGAGCGGGGGTGGCTGCTGGGCGGGCTTGGGTTGCTGCTGGTTTGCCTGCCGTTGGGGTTGCCGCTGGCCTGTCTGCTGGGATGTCTGCTGGGGTTGCTGGTCGAATTGTGCCTGCATGAATTCCGGCTGTCTGTGTTGTGGCTGCACGAATTGTGCCTGCACAATCTCCGACTGAGTCTGAAATTGCTGGGACGGTACAGGCTTGTTGGGATCCCACCTGGAATCGGTGCCACCGCCTGTGAGTCGATCTAAAGCCCTAGAGACGCGAGCGGCCTGCTGAGCTTCGTGGTGCTTGAGACGGGCATCCGCAAGCCATATGCGGCGATCGAGATCCTTTGCCACATACAGGTCCCAGACCAGGGGATACACGTGTAACCATCTCCGAATGCCGTCGTCGACCGGATGGACATCGGCGTAGGGATCTAGTTCCGCGGCCTCTAGCTGTAGCCCCACCCGATAAACGAAGTTGGCAGCGTTTCTGAAGTTAAGGTTGTCCTCAACTTGGTCTCCAGGGAATTCTTCATGAAGTCAGTAATGGACTGTTTGCGACCAGGCACTGACTTACGTCTATTTGTCGGCGTTGGATGTACTGGGGCGTGATCGATTGTGGGCCCATAGCCCGCAGCGGTCTGAGGTGCCCTTGGCTGATGGGCGCTTGGGTTTCCTGGGTTGTTCTCTAGTAGAGCTTGCAAAAGGTTTTTATAGGTGAAAACGTTTGTACTGGGGGGTGCTGTTGTGTTGTTGTTGTTTTGTTGATTTCGATCGGGGTACGCCATTTCTACGGCATTGTTAGTATAGAACATTGATGTTTTGAAGGATATCTTACTTTTGACGGTATCGTGATCAGTGCAGAAACTTCATGGGTTCAAAGGTCGGTTTGTCTTTGCGTGCGCGCCAAGCGCGCTAGTGCAGATCTGACGACACCGGGGGCGTTCACCGGGCTCTGGTCCCTCATATACGCTCGTGGAAGGAGCGAGGAAGAGCTTCAAAGTTGAAAAGAGTCACCCTCTCCAGCACTTTGCGATACGCTCGAGGCGGGCGAATTAGTAGCGCCTTTTTATGCAGGTGTCTTCGCAAGCATATTCAAATCGGCTCTCCCATACATTGATATCGTCTTCACTTTTGGTACTACAGTAAACTTGGCCTTCGCACCTACAATGACACTTCTGCTTCACCTACGATTCAATGTGTGTGCCGAGTATTGCCACTTGGAATTGCTAGCCAGTGCACTCGCTGCATTGCTACGTATACTCTGTACTCTTGCTGTTAATAGAGCACAAAATCGCTCACAAAATACTAAGCTGTCGCTAACGACAAACACGGGGAACATTTGAGCCTTGTCTCGTTCACCTGTATACGTCAACCCTAGTCAACCACCGTGTGGTACTCTGAGTATCTGTTATCATTCATGCCTGGATGCCTTCCAGTGGTGCATTCTGGTCGGCGTATCGCCGCTGCTCTGATTTCATGAGCGGTTCGAGTACACGCCACACTTCAAAGGCTGTTTACTGACAAGCATCTTGGTGGTTCTGTTGGGTCTGGGGTGTGGTGAAACTGAGTGCGTAGTTGTTATCATGGTTCTGGTTCGCCATGCCGACGATGATGCTATCAATGAAAAAGAAAAGCTCTCAAATTCTGCGAGCTCGAGAAGTTACTTTGGCAAGACCGCGCGCGCTCTTGGTCCGTGCTCAGGTGCTCACGGGGAAAGTGCGCAGGTGTTTTTCACCGTGCAGCGAATCTACACGAGGGAGAGGTTCAAGTCCCCAGAGAAAGACGGGAGAAATGATGCAGGCGTATACTTTCGACCGAAGCAACGTGAGTGTAAGAAAGAGGAAGGTGTGGAAGAAATCACAAGAATCGAGACGAATGGCGGAGATGGCGAGCGCGTCGCGCTCGCCTACGAAAGACTTAAAACAGAACAACAAAGGGAATTACAAGAGCGATACAATCCGGTAGGTGCCGCCCAGACCCGATGCTGGGGCAGTATTGTACCCATGTAGAATAGCGAGTGATACACTACTTACGCCTCCATAATATGCTCACCCGTCCCCACATATGGTCACGGCTTCCGTTGCTGGGAGCTCGAATACCTAGGTACCCTTCGCACTTGCGGCTGACTTAGTCGTCTCTCTCCAATCTTTCTGATATTGACGTAAAGTCAGTGTTCGAATGTCCAGCAACTGAAGTGTCATGGTTTGTTTGGAAGGAGAAGTTGAGCTTGTGTGGCAGTGAAGGTGTCGGGTTGTCGGGTTCGAGCTTGCCGACGCTATCCCCAATGCGCCACAGTACCCGGCACCATCCCTGCGAGGGGCTCAACGCCTCTTGGGGGAACCACCACACGCAAGCTCGTCGTGCTGAGACCAGGCAGACTGAGTATGAACGCAGCGTATGCAGTGTTAAGTACCCCAGCACCGGGCATGTGTCACGTCAAACGGCAAGCAAACCAGTCGCCTCTTCCAGCCTCACTCACATTCACACCTGGACATAGAGATGGAGCTGATCAGAGAATGCACCGCCTATGTTCGCAGTATCGCCAAGAATGCACATGCTAAATGGCTCTTTCTACTAACACCATCCCTTATCCTCGTTCACAGTCTCGACGTCCTGCTAATCGTACACAGTATGTCGTTGCGTACCCAAAGCAGCTGTTCGACGCGCGGGCCGCAAAGACCCACGGCTACTCCTCATGAACCATGGCGCGAACCCCAGTTCCTTCGTACTCAGTGGCAAAATGGTCCAGGGGTTGGAGATCAGATGCCGTGATGGTCGTATCCGGTTCGAGGCGGAATCGATTGACGAGCATCGCCAAGGTGAGATAGATCTCGGCATATGCCAGATTGATCCCGAGACACTGCCTTGCGCCCTTGGAAAAGGTCACGAGATATTTCTCAAGCTCTTTTGCGTCTTCGGTCTGCCAACGAGCGGGGTTAAACTTCCTGGCATCTTCGCCCCAGATGCTCTCGTCGAAATGCATGCTGTAGGCGGATATGCCAACGACAGCTCCAGCGGGGACAACCTTTCCGCCTACCACGAGAGGCTGAATTCCATGTTGTACGACTCGAGGAAGTCGTCCCGGTACGGGCATGGCATAGCGCAATGATTCCTTCACACAAGCAGTCTAGCAGGGTTAGCTTCGTATTGCAATCTCATCAGTATACATACCAGATACGGAAGTTGCTCAAGTTTCACGAGCGTGAAATCTTGGGTCGCCGCAACGCCGCTTTCCCTCAGTTCCTTTCTGAGTTGTACAAAGATGGCAGGGTCTTTCATCATATGCTGAACAGCGGTCGAGAGAGTGAATGCCGTTGTATCAGAACCTGCAACCAAGATGTTCGCGGCTTCTGACTCGACTGTTGCATCGTCGAGGTGTTGCATAGCATCGAAGACAATCTCGCGGTCCAAGGACTTGCCGGATGCCTTCAAATGTCTGAAGTTGACCACAGTTTTCGCGACCTTACGTAGGAAGCCCTGAAACCTTGCGGCCGATGTGCTGAGCCTGCCGGTCACACTTGGTGGGCATTTGAATGCAATCGTCCGAAGGATGGGGAAGTACAGCATGTTCCAGATCTGCTCAGATGCTAGATCAAAACACTTAATGAACGGTGCGTCGAACGTGTTGTCTTCGGCTTCGGTGAGCATGTTGAAGGACTCCCCAAACGCGATTTGCGTAATAAAATCAACCGTAAGGCACCTGTAACGGATTTAGCGAAATCTCTACCCCAGATAATGTTGGGAGTGCTACCTGAAAGCGTGGTAGAAGTTGATAGCACCGTTGTCTTTGGTATCCGATAGTCTGTCACATAATAGGGTGACTTTGGAGAACAAGATCTGCTCCATGGATCTGATTGACGCTTTCGAGAAGAAGTTGTTAAGAAGCTTACGTCGCGCACGGTGTGCATCTTTGTCTGCCTCGATGAAGACATTGGATAGGTTGTTGAAACCATCATAGAAGTACTTGTGTTTTGGGAAGATGTACCGCTGCGAGTAGATCGTATGATAGAGTGTGGGATCAGTAATGTGTAGCTCATTTGGCCCGATTCGGAGTGCTTGAGTGTCTGTTCAGGCTGTCAGTATGTGGCCATCTAACTCATGCTCAGACGTACCATATTTCTCATGCAGCTGCTCGAGTATCTGTTCCGTTCTACCAGTCTTGCTCAAAGAGTACTGCCACCACGTTGATAGGGCCGCCTTGTAGGGCCCAGGAAAAGATGCTAGCGGATGAAAGTACAGCAGATAAACTGCACGGGACAAGCCCAAAATAAGAACGAAGAGGACGAGACCCATTCCAATCTGGAAGCTGGAGCGTCCGCCAAGGAAGGATATTTCCCACGCGTCCTTGAGTTGAGAGGCCATGTTTGCAGAATTCGCTTTGAGCCACGATAGAGTGATGATGCAAAATATCTTTACACTCAGCAAGAGTTAAATGGTTCATCGCTTCGTACATCGCTTCGTACATCGTACTGTATGTCAAGAGTTCAATGAGGCTTGTCGACTTGATGCTGTCGGCGTAATAGATATTCGGACCTTTACAGGAACACTGCAAGGTTCCTCGCCAAGAGAAGTTGCATGAAGTCGCTCCACGGATTCCGAGAAGTTGATTGTTCGACGCGTGTTGTACGGTAAAGGTGCTGGTGATGCCGGACTCAGGCGCGTTGCGCGGACTCCGTATCCACATTTACAGTACACCGATGCCCGACTCGCGTCAAAGTTGGTCCGCACCTTACACAAGGAAAGGTCTAGACAGGTCTGCGGACTACATCATCATAGAAACATGCAAAGTAATTAACCTAACGTCGATGTAGGCTCTTGGTTGTGTAGCTTTTCCCAGGCCAACGCGCCCACACGATAGCAGGTCCTGCTATCATCAGATGACCATAAAAATTTCCTTCGATTAGAACCACTGAGGCTGGCTACGAATCACTCTACGAATGTGTCAGTACTGTGCGATGGCGAGAGACGTCGCGTAGTTGAGAGGGCAGTCCCCTAACTCGGTTCGATTAGACCGTTCGCTAGCGCCGGCCCCGGGACGGGGCTGCTTCCGAACTCACATACGTCATCATGCCCCCTTGTCTCTATCCCTTCACACGGCAAGCTTCACCCTTTCAAGCCGCCACTTCCTCAGAGAACTTCGCCGCAGACTCTGCGGTGTAACCTTCCGGCCACTGTCCCGTCATGCCAAATATTCCAGTGGCCCTGCTTCCGATCGCTTTCTCCATAGCGTGCTGAGCCACTTTCTTTTCCCATTCTCCCAGACTCATCTCCCCAGCCAGAACCTGCGGCAATGTAATGGCCGATAACCCTGCGATATCGCAGCTTGCGCCAAGATGTGGGCGAAGTTGAATGAATGCCTCGCCTGCCAGTAGCAACTTGCCTCCGAGGAACGAAGCTTTTGTATTGTCAAACGCTAGATGGTTGAAAAGGTCAGCACATGTCTTCAACCGTGCATCTTCATGGACGGCACATACAACGAACGGCTGTGAGAAGCGGCGGGTTCGACTCGTGGAAGATCTTCCTCCACATTGGAGACAACACCTTATCTCTTCGCTTAAGCTGAGCCTCCCAAACATCTGGGCGCAACAAATCCCCGGGTACGGTGACGTTATGTCGGACACCATTAACGTCGGTCATGTAATCCGCAAAGACTGGCGTCGAAGCGTCGCACGCATCATACCAACACCATTCGATGACACGGTTGCCAGGACGCATGTCTCCGATTGTGCTAGGCGATAGATAGCTTCCACATGTTAGCCTTGGTCGACATCGCCATGTCCAACTTACACCACTATGTAGCTCCCGTCCAGCATGCAAAGAGGCATCTTGCCCTCTATAGCACAACGTAGCTCCTCGGGCGCATCCTTTTCAGGGAATTGTGATCGCCACGCCACATAGCCAACGTAATCGGTCTTCACATCAGGAAGGACAAGGCTACGAAGATGGGATCGCGCACCATCGGCCGCCACGACCATGTCAGCCGTCATCTGTTCCTCGATGCCATCTTCGCCTTTGTATGACACCACGAGATGGTCACCTTGCTCAGTCAGCCCGCATACCTGGTATCCACAGCGCATGCTGACAGGCCCATGTCCTTCGACGTCTTTCTCGCAGGCCATCCATAGCAGACCGTGAAGGCCAGCCCAGCACGAGGTGCGCACGTCTTCCGTGAACGGCACTTCAACCAAGACCTTACCATCCTTGTCAAGGATTGGAAATGCGGGGTTGCGGAAAACGATATCGTCAAGCTCAACATCAGGTAGGTATGTTGTGAACACTTTCTGTGCGTTTGACCATAGACTCAAGCCTGCAGCTCGGGCTTGTAGCTGCTGTTCAGTTCGCATCTCAAGAACCACAACGCTGTGGCCATGAGACTTGAGCGCCACAGCATGCATGAGCCCAGCTATCGAGCCACCAACCTATTGGAATGATCAGCCTCATATTAGCCATGGCATATAAGGCGACTTACCACCACGACGCGTTTGTTCATTGGTTCTGCCATGGTTCTCAAGATGGTACGCACGAATGGAGAAAGACGGATGATGCTCCGAGGACGCCTTCTGACGCGGAAACGGCCCTTTTATCGCGTTGCAGTACGAACATGGGCTCTGTCGACTACTCCGCTGCCACCAACGCAGTAAGAAACGTCGCCCGTTGCGCGATTATTGATCAAAGCACCACCATTGGGTAAACGGGCAGCGAGCAACGCCTGGCTCTACATGAGTGGTTGGCTCGCGTACCGGCATGCGGCGCAGTCGCATCGTGGCTTCGCCTATCTTCCTGTCCAGACCCGATCAACCAGTCAGACACATGTCTTGCGCGATCCTCCAGATCCTCTCCGTTTTAGCGAACCTTATATTCGGGGTCATTGACTGAGATGAACTAGCGGCCCGTTCACGAGTCCCGGGCACGTCACGTGAGGCGGCTTGTATGTCCGATGTTCTTGCCCCCTTGTCGGTGTCCGTTACGCGAGATTCCCTCCAAGTCACCTCTCCACATTTATCACGGCATGATATTAAGACTCCGCGTACCCTGCTTTCCACTAGTCTCTTCACATATATGGTCGTCCGCGGAGACTTTCCTTGTCGGTGACGACAACCCTGAAGTTCGCACTTCTCGGTGACTTCGGACCAACCTCGTCGTTCTTTCAACACATACTATGGGTCTGTGTACGGCGACGGTAACAATGCTATCTTCAGTATGCAAATCGATGAGTGCATGTTTCACTAGCGATGGATCAGACTGGAGATGATGGACATGACTCAAGCAACCGGCATTAGCTCTCATTATGCTAATGCGTCTGCTATCACCAGGTATTGTATGTACGGCAAAGAATGCCAGATATCGGGACCCACCCAGTCAGAATCCGCTTCGTACATCTGACAATGCCCTCCAGGTTCGTTTCCCGCCATGTAGAGCAGACCCGCCATACGGACTTTCCTCCTTCAATCTTCTCAGTCTTACCAACGGCGCCATGTTGTAACGCTTGTCGCCACCACCGTCACAATCCTTCACCTCTCACCCCGCCCTCTGCATCAGCGCCTGTCGGCGCGAGGTCCGGTGGGAGGGTACAGGTCAGGGACGAAGCGATCGTTGGTAGATGACCTGTTCCGTACGTTTCGGCCACGATCGCGCTCCCGGCGAGCTCCTCGTTGATGGCCACCGCGCTCGTAGAATCCACCCGACGTCCTCCGATGATCAGTGTATACCGCCTCGCTGTACCTCGATTCTCGGTCTCGATCTGAACCTTGGCGCGGAGGAGTGGCGTCAACGTTCGACATGGGGCGTTGCGTGGAGTCCCTCCTACCGTTTGCTCCATATGCATCGATACTCTCCGAAGCCCGACCCTGCTCTCTCTCAAACTCTAGGTCTTGAACGTGACACTGTAGGCTATGCGCTTCTGTCTCCAACGTAGTGACGCGGTCTTGTAAATCCTTGTTCTCGACCTCGTATGCTTGGATCTGGGCCTCCATCTCTTGTATCTTGCTCGTCATATCGCTGATGTCGCGGGCGGACTTGGCGGTTTCTTTCCTCATCAATGTGTCGCGCTGTTCGATTGCGACGTTTTCACTGAGTAAGGCGTCCTTCTCCTCCACGCGCCTCGAGTACGAGGCCGTCAAATCGCCTAGCGACTTGGTCGCCTGCGTGAGACGGATATGGTAGTCGCTGGACATCTTTTTGGCAGCCGTCTTCTCTTGCTGGAGTCTTGCGTTGTCAGCTTCCTGGTCCGCGATGCGTGCAAGAAGCTCGGGAACCCGCCTCATTGGTGCCATATTGCCCTCGATTGAAGGCGGCGCCGCACTGTGATGAAGTTAGCAAGAGTTCTTTGGGAGATCGTTTCAGGGCACTCACGGCTCTGTAGGCGGCTTTGCAACGGCCTCACGATTTGGTGTTGGGGCAGCAGACACTACATCAGGCATGTCGACATTGCTAGGCTGACGACTGAGCCGAGGGTCACGGGCACTGTCGTAGGTATTGTTGAAGGCCATCAGAAGATTTTGAATAATTGATGGAGTTTCAAGAGAAGAACAGAAGAACCGTGGTGTTCTGGAAGTACATACGAGATCGTGCGTTTGTCGATATGGCCTTGGCTAGCGCGACTATATCGTAGGTGAGCAAGTATTTACTGCGACTGCGGCAACGCCGTCACCCAACCAATCTCCCGCTTCTACGCCGACAGCTTACGCTGAGAGCCATATCTCGCTCCCGTCGGTATAGCCGTGGCGACCTGACTCCCGCCGACTTCGCCAGTTCAACCACAACCACCACGATGACGCGGGGAAATCTTCTGCGACACATCTTCAGGCACGGTCCGAATTCTAAACTCAAGCGCGACGCAGTACCATCCAAAGTCGACGAGAATGAAAGGTCGCCTCTCATCGCAAAGTCACCCGCAAACGAGCCCAAGCCGCTATCGCAAGATCCGTCGCCGCCACGAACACCCGAGCCCCATACCGTACACATCCTTCCCGAGATCACCGAGGAGAAATCTAGCTCTCCAGCCGCCGGCTCGCCTTCCGCATCTTCAAGCACAGGAAGTACCGTATCCGACCTCGCATCCGTAGTCACTGTTCTTGCCGCGCACGCGCCTCTCATCAACCCCGCAACTCTTACCACGCGCGATCTCCTCTACGCCGCCATAGACGAAGCAATTTCAGCGACGAAGGACCATCTCGACACGCTAGCAACTGCATGGGCGCTACTTGAGGCCCTCGCTGGCTTCAGTGCGACGGTCGAGGTGCTGAAGCAGGAGATGGAGCTGAAGATTGCGTCGTCCGAGGCCAAGCTTGTGGAGTTGGAAAGTTTTGAGGAGGCGGTTGAGGGTATGACGTTATCGGATGAGCAGGACATGAACGGCGCGGATGGGGGTGTTGGAGACGGTTCACCAGGTCGCTAGTTGGGACATGGTCACAAGATGGTCGCATAAGCCATGTGTAGATCAATTCTATGGTTCCGCAAGTTTGTCCGATCTGGAATAGCGTCGCTGAATGTGAAGAAGAGCAGCGATCAAGGGACGATGTGAGAGATCTCCTGAGGCTGAATCATAGAATCAAAACCTTAAGCGACGACGTTATGAACTCATGGCATCCATGGATACCCGCAATGGAATCAGACTACTGAACTTGCAAAGGAAAGACTTGTGAGTGATGTTGGTAGATCCGACATTCGGAAAGTCCGGACTAAACAGCGGACTACGAACCACACAAAAGTCGCGAATGCGCAACCAACCTCCTGATGTAGTCAGCCCGCCCAGTTACCATGCACGACTGTTCCCGCAGAAATGTTTATCGGTGTACTCTAAATTGTAAGCGAATCGTACTGAAGATAGATGAAGCGTCGTTGTATGGTACCGAAGATCGGGCAGCCAGTGATGCGACGCGCATATGTTTCGTCTGTTCATCTATGGCATGCGCCAATATACTACCACGGGTGCCTTCAACAATTGAACTTTAAATCTCTTCATCTCCGTAGTCGACCAGTTCCGTGAAGACAAGCCTGCAATCCCTTTTAACATAAAGCCTCCATTTCTTCGCCGGCCCAACATCGTCTTTATTCACCTACAAATAGGATATCTTCTTCCCTACTCAAGATGGCTCCAGCTAGACAATACCACGAGAGCCTCATACTATGCGAAATCGAAGCAAACAAAGCCAAGTACATACACTTCCTGCAAAGGCTTGTCCGAGCAGCAAGCCCCAACCCACCAGGCGACACCCGAGCGGCTGCAGATGTCGTCACAAAATTCCTTTCAGCCAACAACATCTATGCAGATATCGTTGCCCCGATGGCTCATATGCCCAATGTGGTCTCGGATTTCGAAGGCCGCTTGCAGGACGGTCCTCGCGTCGTCTTCAACGGCCACATGGATACTTTCCCGGTCAATAACCTTGAGGGTTGGCGTTATCCGCCGTACTCTGGACATAATGATGGCACTTCGATACACGGCCTGGGGTCTGTCGACATGAAAGCAGGGACCGCAGCTTCCATCATCGCGTTCACGTTGCTGAGGAAGCGAGCGTCGCATCTCATCGGAAGCATCGCCTTGACCGTGGTCTCGGACGAAGAGACGGGAGGCGAATGGGGGACCAAGTATCTGCTTGATCACTGTGGTGAAAATTCACCCTGGCTAGGCGATTGTGTTGTCAACGGCGAGCCTGGTGGTCTACAGTCCATCCGGTTCGGCGAGAAGGGTAAGTGACATCTATCCATGAACAGCTTTGAAGACCTACACTAACTTTGATTGGTAGGCACTCTGCGATTGACCTTCACAGTCAACACTCAAGGAGGTAACGGCGCGTACACACACAACGGCTGTGGAGCCATCGTACACGCTTGCTCCTTGATAACGACTCTGAAGCGCGTGGTCGAGTCGATACCCGTAAAGATCCCGCACCAACTCAAGGCTTATCTTCGCTCCAAAACAGCGCACGCTGTTACTGATGAGATCATGGGCGCTGGGGCAGCAGCAAACATGTTCTCACCCACTTTGAACATCGGCACCATCAACGGCGGCGTCAAAGTCAACGTCATCCCCTCAAAGTGCGTCTTTGAAGCCGACATCCGCCTGCCGATCGGGCTCGAGGCTGAGGCTGTACTCAATGAGATAGACAGCCTACTGCTATCGTCCCCTGGCGTATCCTACTCCGTGCAAGAAGCAGCCAGCAACCCAGCAAGCTTATCGGAGTACAATCACCCGCTTTCTGGGTACATGGCCGATGTTGCGCGAGACGTTACTGGGAGGGAGCCGGTACAGATCGTTGGCCTGGGTGGTACGGATTGTAAGTTTTATCGCTATCGCGGTGTGCCGGCGTTTGTGTTTGGGCCTTCTCCAAGCGGGATGGGTGCAGATGGTGAAGCTGTGCTCATTGAAGAGTTTATGACTGTCATCAAGACACATACACTGGGAGTCTTCCGGTATCTCTGGGACGATAAGAGGTGGGATCTCAGTAGGGGATTGGGAGAGAATACTCCCACAGGCGAGAGAAGGGCTCTCGAGATCAGAACTCGCAAGCAGAATATGGGGTAGGGGATTGGCCTTACTTAACCTTTGCTCTAGTTATGCTAGAATTAATGCGCTTGAATGGGACACTTTCCAAAAGACTTTCCAAACATTGATATAGATGTGAAGCCTCGGTGGAGTCATGACGGCCACGAACTGGACCACGCACATGCGGGGTGAAGTAGTGACGGTCCGCGCCGATGCACAAGCGCAAGGAAACAGAACGAGTACCTATGTGGACGCTTCAGCGGGCCAAGGCATGACGGACAACGCGCGATGTAATAGTTTGACTTCCAGAGATGAGTCCGCTCACGGCGCTGTGACGCTTTAGTACTAGATGACAGCTGTTGCACAACTTTATCAGCTCTGGCAGCGACGATCAATACAACATACCGAAAGACTCCGCGGACCTAAGGAAGTACATCTCACCACTTCCGCGTCCTTCCGTCTGATCAACACTCCGACAACGACATCCAACCCCCAAAGCAGCCATCGGCAGATGAAACTAGCGGTGCCTGGAGGCCTAACGTCATACCCGATGACGCTCACAGGCCCTCCCCAGTCCAAACGAGATAACAGGCACAGTTTCAAACAACCACAACGGCATTGACATGTCGCAACCGTATCGGCGGCCTCACCAAAAAAGGCAGCAGGTTGGAAAGTTAAAGGAAAGGCTCGACAACTTCGCTTCGCAAGCTTCGTCAGTAGTCCAGACCCAGCTAGCGCACTATCTGCACTGTCTCCAGCGATCGGCCCTCGTGGTAACCGAGCGGGAAGTGGGGACCAATAAAATACAGGGGTACAAAACTGCCCATTAGCTGACACCGGCACACTACGGTCTGACGGGCCCAGCCTGCATACGGAAGCCATCCGTTCTCCTGTTTTCCTGGCCCTGAAATTTCGGTTTGGCGTCTTGGTTTCGTTCTCTTCCCGTTTGCTCATATCTGCGTATTACCTTTATTCCCCCCAGAGCGTCGTTCCGTCTCTTTGCTTTTGCTGCGAATCCTTCCAATCCTTCCGGGTCCTGCGATTACTTATTCCATGCCAATCATCGGCCGCATATCTCTACACCGCCGACATAGCTCCGCCCGCCCCCATCGCATACCCTGAAGAACGGAGAATCCAGAACCAAAATGCCGGGAACTACAATGACGAAAACGAGTGCTTACCCCTACATCCTCACCACAGTCGCAACCCGGAAAGAAGGTGTTTCACGCGCACAATTCTACCAGCACAACGAGGAGAAGTACGCGCCTTTACTTAAGAAAATTGCGGGAAAAGTGCACCCATTGTCGTGGACGCGGCACTACCATGTTGACGACGAGGAATGTCCAATCGGCATTCCGCGGGTGTTGATTGGGGTTGATGACGGGATGGACTGGGATTGCATGGGTACCATGGCGTTTGAGGATGAATTGCATTTGCAGCAGTTTATTGCGTTTATGCATAGCGATGCAGCGATTCCGGTGCTGGAGGAGGAGGAGAAGTTTGCGGAGCCGACGAAGACGAAGTTGTTGGTTATGAAGAAGGGGGTTAGTGTGAGGGAGGGTTAGATGGGTGATGGATTTGTGGCGTTTGGAAAGGAAAAGTGAAATTGGAAGTGAGGCTGGAACATGGTCTTTGGGAATGCAATTTGGTCGGAATAGGATGTTTATATTGGGCTATCAAGGGTATTTGACTGATGATATGGAGGAAGGTAGTCAGCACAAGCTGCGTCCAGACTGTGATACAAACATCGATCCCTCCCTCACGATGTGCCTACGAAGGAAGCCACTCCCCATCCCAATCCTCTCTCCTCATAGCCGGCCCCCACAAATCCCCCACAGACCCGGTCCTCTTACCCCAGTCATCGTAGCCATCCTGACATAACATCGGAACCTTGTCAATCGCCCTCTCCAGAGAGGCATCTCCTTCGACCTGTATAATACCACCATCTCGAATCCATATATCGTGCGGAAAGTGCGGCATCTCCCCATGATGGTACATATGTCGAATGTGTCTGTGGTTAATCTCGGCGAAGCATTGGAACTCTTCTTCGTTCTTGTAAGAAGTGCGGGCCGCGAAGACTGTAACGACGGTGTTGTTCCATAGTCCGCCGGCAGCGTCGTAGAAATGGTCGTCATCAGGACGGTACCTAGCTCTAGCAGCTTGGTGTAAGAAGCGAGCGATGTTGGGTGTCGCGCCGTGATCGATAGGTTGGAGTCCACTGGACTTAGGTAGTCTCTGGAGAATAGCTTGGATATCGTACTTCTTATCATCTTCGACAGCCATACGCTCGCGGGGGATTTGTGATATGAAGTACTGGAGTACCTTGCTTTGTCTCATCTTTGTCCCGCTTTTGCCCAACTCGATGAGCTTGGTCGGTGACTCTTCGATGAAATGTCGGACTAGTTCCTCTAGAATGGTGCGTGCTTCTGAATGGACCTGCTTGCTCGTACGTAGTATGGCGGTCGGCAGATGTCTTGTGACCAGTACAGCCACGGCTCCGTCTATAGAGATCTCGGTGTGTTTTATCTGGCGTGGCAGCCGCTCATAGATCATTAGGCGCAGCTCGACGGGAAGCCTCATGAACGGGAAAGAATTGTGCTGGTCAGTCGACATGCCGGTTGCTGGGAGGATGTAGGAGATGTTCTTAGAAACAAGAAGTCGTATGCAATGAATGAGGTTTGGAGTGACCAAGGTTCTTGTCAGTGACTTTACTTACAATGCCAGTGGCTGTAAGCTTCAATATCCCAGAATATCTGGATGAGATTGCGGATTGGCAACAAGATCATACATGACGGCATCAATGATGGGATGAGAAGACCTGGATGAATATGGCGATAAGAGACATCCCATCGGAGAGACCATAAACCATTACCGTGCCGTCACCAAGCCCACGGGTAAGCCGGAAAGAGCCATGCCGGATAATTTGTAAGATGGTTGGCGAAATCTGGCCGGCAAACGGACGATTGATATCGGATCTCCGGAAGTAGCAGTATGTCGAGATCTAGCCAGTCGAAGGTGATTACTCATGCGCGTCGGCAGAATGTGAAAGTCAAGATAATCACGTGACGATTGCGTATCTCATGGAGATATTGCGAGATGCATGAGAGTAATATTCGGATGGCATTGTATGTCGTCCCGCCCGACGAATCCTCAACCGAATCACCCTAGAGACGATATTAGTCTTAGGTTACTCACTTTACACGATTTCACCTTGATGTAGTCTCCAGGCATGTTCAGCTTTCACTTGTATGGGGTAATACCGTAACACCAATCTTCGTGTTACCGAGTTATGACGACCGGAACTGCACCCCAGCGGTATCCGCGGTATCGTGTTTTACGACTGCGTTGATGCAATAGTCCGCGAACATTTCAGCACGCTCCATAACCCCGTCGCTACAAGGAACGCCATGTCCGTACTCTTCACGAAGAAGGCAGCCAGTCTTGAACCCACTCCTCCTGGCTCATACAAGGCTCGAACACAAAGCTCCCATCTGTATGATACTTGTCGATATTGATTCTGACGGCAAATTGTTCGGCGCAATTATGATCTCCCCGTCGGGCGCATCCATGAGCCTACACATGTTATCGGCTTTGATAGCCTTGTAGCGGCGAGTTGTAGCAGGGTAGCCCATAGCAGTGTGATGGGGGACATGTACTTGTGACGCGATATAAGAGCGAAGCATGGACCTAGTCTTCCAAGTATCGAGGTCTGCGAAGCATACAGTAGCTATAGTGTCGTACCATGCTTGCGTGTCTGCTTTTGTCGCCAGAGCCGCTTGAACAAGAAAGAGGGCAATGTGGCGTGGTTGTCTCATTTCCCATGGGGAGGGATCAAAGTATGAATATCCCTGGAAATGTCGCCGGATCGTGGCGTTCACATGGAAAGGACGACCACTCTGTAGGTGATTCTGTAGCTGCGTCAGCTTCGAACATGGACGATTATTGAAACATAGAGAACGACTAACCAGATAGGCTTTGCGTTCCGTGCGCATAAGGTAGATGAGCTCTTGTAATGCGACCAGGTCGGTGTCATGGCCTATGACCCGTGGCTGCGACTCCGTCACGAAAGTCCGGATCAGATTTGCGACGATGCCACCCGCCTCGGCAAAGACCTGACGGCTTGTCCTCAAGATAGCTACTGGGAGGTGACGTGTGACCACGACCACTGTTGAGCCGATCTTCTCGTTCGTGCTGGCGTAATATCCAGTCACATAGCGAATCTCAGTGTGCTTGATCTGACGGGGTAGGCGCTTGTAGACCATGAGGCGCAACTCTGCGGGTAGGTCCATGAAGCGAAAGGGTTTGGTGATATCCTGGGTAGACATCGTGGGGGTGCACTTCCGAGCTTCAGTGAGCGACGGTTTCGCCTTTGTGTGACGTGCGCAATCTCGGGTGTGCTTGATTGCGCGGATTGGCAATCGGAGTTTGCTAAAGTCGAAGTGAGGGGGAGGACGTAAGTGAAGGTAGCCCTGGCAGGAGCACTTGACTCTAGCGCCGCTTGGCGTCCGAAACAGGCGATTACGTTGATAGTTTGCAATCTATTGATCGTCGAAGGCAGGCGCCCTGGAGCCAACTGTAGATGACTGATCCAGGCTGCCGGTAGAGTGGCTCCTTGATATCTTGTGTCCCTGCATTGTCGTGCACTGCCTCACCAACTCAGGCATCGCGGTAGAAACCTCAGTACCCTTTGCTCTGGCGTCGCCTTGAGTGGGAAATGGGCGATTGGACCCTATCCTGCAGTTAATGCGGTCTCTCAGCGATGTCGCAGTTAGAAAGAGACTGAAACGAGACTGGACGCTGCGAGATGACTCTGGTGAGAAGATTAAGAGTTAAACATACTAATCAGACAAAGGCAGAGAAAGATCAAATATACCATCTCCTTACCTGCCCAAGATATCGTCAAGGCTAGCCGTCCATTCCGGCCATAAGCACCCCACCACTCTCCAACCCAGCCCGTCTAAACCTTCATCCACAGCGCCAACACACCCTTCGCATACTCAACGATCTCATCCCCACCAAGCTTGCTCTCACCATACAACCGATCCACAAACGAGATAGGCACCTCCGCAACCGTACACCCCATCGCCTTAGCCCTAACCATCATCTCCATCTGAAACGTATACCCCTTACTCTCCGTCTGCCTAATAACCTTCTGCAGCACCTCCTTCTTATACAACCGAAAGCTGCCCGTAAGATCACTCACACCAGGCCGGAGCACCGTGTCCGCAAAAAGATTCGCCCCCCTCGACACAAACTTGCGCTTGAGATCCCAGCCGAACACGCCGCCGTCGCCCGCATACCGCGTTCCGGTAACGATATCGTAGTTCTTGGTCTTTTGTAAAGCGATCATGGGCGCGATGAACTTGGGGTGGTGGCTGAAATCCGCGTCCATGATGATGACGAAATTGCCCGTCGCGAATTGCAGGCCGTGGACGTAGGCGGTTCCGAGGCCGAGTTTACCGGCGCGCGCGCGGATTTGGATGCGGGATGGGGTGTAGGCTTTTTGGAGCTGGGCGGCGATTTCTTGGGTGCCGTCGGGGGAGCCGTCGTCGATGATGATGAGTTCCCAGTCGAGTTTGCTGTTCATGCATTGTTAGTATAGTAACGTGGTGGAGGTTGAGAGGGGGGGTGTTGCGACGTACTTCTCCTCGAACGTCTTGGCCAGCAGCCATGTTATTATGGGCAGATTGCGACGCTCGTTGTAGGTGGGCAGGAGAACCGAGTACTTGTTCGTGTTCGCCATTGTTGCAATTGCGTGTGTGAGTTGTGTGTCTGCGGAATTGGGTGAATGAGCGACTGCAGGTGAGGGTTGACGTTGGGGGAGTTGAGGATTCGCGGAGGTGATCGTGTCCGCAAGTAGCTCGGGGCTGTCGGCGGACCCTGGACTAGCCTCTTTGGACCATCTCCTTCCGCAACGACATGGCCGAGTTTGGGTGGCCTTACACGTCGATGTAATATTCATCGATATTCCCGCGCGAATTAGAAGAACATTGGGTCGATGCTATCGGATTTGTAGGGTAATGCCAGTCGATACGCCGGATACCCTCTCACCATGTCACCCATGCCCAAGAGGAAAAACCTCTTCCTCTGTCTCGACGCCTTCGGCACCCTCTTCACACCTACGAAACCCATCCCAGTAACTTACGCCGAAGCTGCCCTCAAGCATGGCATCGCAATAAACACGCCCGAACCCGCCACCCAAGTATCCTCATCCTTCAAATCCGCATTCAAGCGCCTATCATCAGAGCACCCAAACTATGGCCGGGCTACAGGCATGGGTGCAGAAAAATGGTGGAACAAAGTAATAAAAGAAACCTTCACGCCATTCCTGGCTCCAAACCAAAATCTCCCAAAGTACCTCGTCCCAGAGCTCCTCCACACCTACTCGTCACGTAAGGGGTATACACTGTACCCCGACGTCCTCCCCTTCTTCCGCATGATTCAGCATATGAAAGCGCACAGGAGACGTAACGGCACTTCTCATGGACTCTGGCCCTGGGACAAAACCATAGTAGGCGTCGTAACGAACTCAGATAACCGCGTCCCGGGGATACTGTCGTCCTTCGGTGTCAACGTGGGTCCCTCGCGTTACCAAGATATGAAACCCTCCAATACCAAGGATGGAGAGTATGACATCGATTTCACGGTTCTGTCTTACGACGTCGGAGTCGAGAAACCAGATCGACGGATCTTTGCTGCGGCGGAGGAGATACTCGACCACAAGCTAGAGGCCGCTTCGATGAACAGTGGTGAAGACTTCAAAGCAGAGGAGTTTGAGAAGATCTACGTAGGCGACGACCTCCACAAGGATGTTTTCGGCGCTCAAGACGCAGGCTGGTCGAGCGTATTGCTAGAGAGAGATGCAAATCTGGCAGGTGGCCAAGGCTACGGGCTGAAGATGGAAGAAAAGGGAGGAGAGATAGGAGAAGAAGGTGAGGTAATCAGTCAGAACAGATTGGTGCCACAGGTTGGTTCTTTGCTCGATCTGTGTGCGTGGCCACGAAGACCTCAACGGCATGAAATATCGCCCGTGCGATACGTGTATATAAAGGGCCCTGAGGAAGCATCGTCAGAGAAGGACAAGCGTCGACTACGAAAGCAGATGTAATCTGCATGGCGGCTGCTTGGTAAATCAAAAAATTGAACAGCCGATTACAAGCCCATCAATCCTTTGCAACACGCAAACATCACTTTTCCACACTCTACACCCGCACACTCGTCCCATCAGCAAATACCATCTATTGTATCATACGTCTCATTGCAGTTCATTCCATGTCAGTCAAACAATCCAACCTCCAACCACCAACTCGCCAGACACGAAAGACACTAAAGTCCGCATCTTGTCCACCAAACCGTCATACCCCTTCCACATCCATACCACCGACCCATCTTGCCATTCGTGCCGAAGCCCCACCGCAAAAAGAAACATACGAAACATGATCATGTACAGAATCCACCAAACCAACCAGCCAAGCCAGCTAGCTCAGAGCCCAAAAAAGGCAGCCGAGCCAAGTTGTTATCCAAAGCCCCCTCCAAACCCTTAAGTTTTCGCAGGATTCCGTTTGCCAATTTTTGCGCCTGAAAGGTAATGCTCGACTGTGGTTCTCCGCGTGGTATTAAGGTTTTGGGTGACATCGTGGTATTGGAATTCGACTCGTGGTTGACCGTTATAATGCAAACAAAATGTGTGATTTGCTACACGATGAGAAACTACCTCATTCGAATGCGCGTTGGAAACGGATGTTCTTGTGTCACAACTCCTCGTCCTCTTCCATCTTGGTTTCGATGGTGGGGATGTTCCCGTCCGAGTTGGCTCGACCTTGGTTGTGGGCGTCCATGAGGGCTTGGCCCAGGCTCTTGCGCACGTTGTCGTCGAAACCGGGTAATGAAGCGCGCTGCTTCTTGTAGGGTGAAGCGATCGAGTTTGTGCTGGGCTCTCCGGAGGTGTTCGCGGCGGCGGATGATGATGCCTCTCCTGTCGACGCGTTTTCTGGTGCTGGCGTACCGGAAAGAGGAGATCCTGTCGAGTCGGAGTGGGAAGGTCCTGCGGGGCGGCCGAGAGGTTCTGCAGAATGTTGACGCTTCAGCTGTGATGTGTTAGTAGACGAATTTCGAGCGACAACAATACACATACCTTGATCTTGCGCACGCCCTCTGCAAGCTCGCCTTGCCTGTGAGCATCCTCAGGCGACAGCAAGCCCTTGTCGAGAACCTCTTTATCATCATCCGCATCCTCCACCTTGACATCGTCCTCGTCGTCGGCGTCGCTGTCCATGGCGTCCTCCGTCTTCTTCTTAGACTTGGGCGAAGTCTCTCGGTAACCTCCAAAGTTCTTTGTTCCAGCGGCTGCGTTCAGTGGCTTCAGACTGCCAAAGTCGAGTGCGCCAGATTTCCGCTTGGTCTGTGGCGAGGTGATCTTGGGCGTCTCCTTGGTGTTCAGAATACCCATCTTCCGCAGTTGACCTGTCATTGGTTAGCGAAAATCTTGTGACCCTTGCTGTAAACTTACGCTCTCCGCGGTACAAAAAGGTAAAGACGGCGTAAGGCTTGTCCGGGGGATCTATGCCAGTCACGGTCTGGGTGCTGATAGACTTGGGGTCCAGCGTCTTAGGCTTTGCGAAACTCGTTGTGTGGTCAACGTCTTCACCCTCTCCTCCTCCGTTTTGCTCGTCGTCATCGTGTGCGTCAAACTGGGGTGAGTACTCGCCGCGCTTGATCTCTCCAGACGCCAGGACGCGGAACAGAGCGACCTTGATTTGTCCGGCTGCCTCGGGCATGGGAGGCTCGTCGTCCGAATCGGAGTCGGTGGTGAAGAACTCGTCGTTGCCGGAAAGCGTCTCGACAGGCGCGTCCTTGCTTTCGCTGTAGCGCAGTACACCGTTGCCAGAGGTCTTCTTGTCCTCGTCGCTGCTGTCCATGGCCTCTCTCCGCTTTGCCCGCTTCTTTTCCAGGCGCTGCTTTCTCCGCTCAATCTTGGCGGCCACGTCCTTGTCCTTGCCCTCGAGATCCAGACCGTTGAGCCATCTCTCGAGACCGACCTCGCGGAAGAGGAACTCGCGCTCTGCGAGACCCCCGCCTTCTGACTCTGGCACGCTGACCCACCGTGAGTTGACCCACGTCTCTTCGCCGCGTCGCAGCAGTGTCGCTACTTCCTCCTTTGCCCGGCCATCAAAGTATATGTATGCAGCGATTGTCTCGTTCGGCGAGGTGGTCAAGGGCTTGTACGGGGCTATCGTGGGACCGTACTTGCCCCGCTCTCCGGTTTGACCTGGGAGGCCCCCGACAATCTTCGCTTTCGGGTTGGGGTCATCGTCAGTTGGCTTGGGCGTCGAGTAGGGCACGTGAAGACCTGGGGTGAGCAGAGTGATCGATATCGCGAAAGAAGACTGCTCAGGCTTGGTAGCGCCCGGCGGTATCTTTGCGGGTGGGACAGGGATGTACGAGGTGATGCGGTGATGTTTAGATTGCTTCTGTATCGAGTATTCTGGGAGCGGGTTGCTGTCGGCATGGATGCTGACGGCGAGGCCTAGAAAGGTCGGCATTTTGGATTAGGCGTGGTGAGGACGGCTGCGAAGCTGCGGAGATGGCAGCGGAAGAGCCCTAACACAGTAGTCTTGGCAGAGTTGGGAGGAAGAAAATATCCCTGCGAATAGAGCGGCCGCCGGAGGGGCAGCTGCGCGAGTAAGTAGGCGAAGATGGGCTAGGAGGCGGTGTGAGGTAGCGACTCTGAAGGTCTGTGTTGTTGGTTTAGGCGGAGAGCTTCCGTAGGCGCTCCACGATGTTGGGGTCCACAAGTCGACGACCCAAGTCACGAGCCAATCACGCGTGCACCTGATGTTTTCTGCGAACTTCAAAGAGCCGCCGTCTTTCACGGATGTATCTGTCAATATCACGTCAAAGATATGCTGCGACCATGCGTTTGGGCAGGGGATCGAATCAAGGGGCGTGCCTGTCGTCGATCGAACGTGGGGTCATGACTAGCGGCATGGCGCCTGCCTGTTCGTGCCTTCCCAGTTGAAGGGAGCCCTGGCAGATATACGTTCAGACTCCATCCACGGATGTACGAACGGCTCAACACCCATCATCACGCGTTAGACAGACATCATGAGTATGTGGAGCCAAGTTCTCAAGCTATCAGAAAATTCGAAGCATCAAAGACAGCGGTCGGGATTCGAATTCCTCATCACCGCTCTTTACTCGCCGATGTCTCCACTTGTCTCTATCTAGGGTATCATACAGTTCCTTAGTCCTTTTCGATCAACGCGAAAAACCCCATATTATCTTGGGCGCACAAGGTGAGCTTCAGAGGGTATGCAGCATCCTTCTGATGAGACATCACCAGCTCCCCTCCTTCCCCACCCACCCGTCACACAGTTCCTTAGTCCTTTTCGATCAACGCGTACAACCTATCTGGTTCCAAGTCCAACTGGAGAGCTTGAGATGATTGATGGCATCTTTGTGGTAAAGTAGGAAGACTAATCCTCCTCATCCAAAGCAAACATATCCTCAGCCTTCGGTCTCAACCGCCTCGCTCTCGCAACAGCTGTCTCTCCAGGGATCTCAATGGCCTTTGGCGGATCTGCAGAAACGACAGTGTCAGGCACGACCACTTCCTCCTTAACCACAGCCTCAGCCTCCGCTTCAGCAACAGGTCGCTCAGGCTCTGGTTCCCCCATTTGACTCGCAGTAGGCGACGGCGATCTGAACTCATCTTTCGTATCCTCGGCGCCCTCATCCACGTCCATCGTCTGTTCACCCTCTTCACCCTCCTTCTTCGCCTCAGGATTACTCGGTTTCCTAACAACCACCCCCTTCCTCCTCCTCTTCTCCGCCGCCCGTCTCTGCACCTCCCCCTCCTCCCTCTCCCTCTCCCTCCGATTAAACTTATCATCCAACTCCTTCAACGTCTTCTCATCAAACAAATGATCCCCCGTCCACACCGCCAATATCCCATTAACATCCTCCCTATACGTCCTCTCCGTCATCCGCCCCATCTCCAATTTCTGCGGCAACTGCTCGAGATGTTCAAAGACTTTGCGTTCTACCAGCTCCGTTCCGATGGCTAGCCGGTATTTATAGGAGACGCCTGATTCTTTTGCGGTGACGAGCAGGACGTCGGAGACGATGCGGAGCGCGTTTAGGGTTACTTGGCGGAGGTCCGGGCGCCGTATGTCGTCTTTGACGGCTGCGTCGCCTGCGCGGTTTCGTGTGTTGGCATCGGTGAGTTGGAAGGGGTTGATGATGTTGGAGACGAGGATGCTGGTGACTTCGTCCATGCCCTGGGCGGCGTGTTCGACGGCAAAGGTTGAGATGGCGGCGAGGTCGTCGTACACGATGCTGCCGGGTGGGATTGCGTTGATCATCCATAGGAGCATCGCTCGTGATCTGGGGTTCATGATGCCGTGGCCATTGTCCACGCGGCCGGGATAGTTGTCGCCGACTGGTAGGGGCTTGAAGATTGGTTTCTCCTTCTCCTCCTCGTCATCGCTATCTAGACTTTCGTCGTCTGATTCGAAAGCGCCAACGTGGTGGACGAACTCGTGGCGGAGCGGATCGACGGGGCCTTTCCAGGCGCCTTGCCCTGCGAAGATTTCGGAATCGGTGCTGTTGGTGACGATCTGGTGTAGACGCCAACGGTAATACCGGTTGACGGGATGTTTCTGGTCGTATAGCCACGCGAAGCGCTCCTCTTCTTGTACTTGCGGCTCGTTCATCAAGGCCGCTTCGAACTCTACACCACCAAGAATGACGCCCTCGATAGTCTGATGTACCAATCTGAGGGTCGCGAGATCGGGAGGCTGGTTTGCAGTGATGATGAGATCTTCCGTGTTCTCGCGCGGCCCTCTACCCCCTCCCCCTCCACCAAGATCTGGCGGCGGCGCGAAACCTTTGGGTAGCTCGGGTGCCTGCCACCGTGCGCCAAATGCCTTTGTCTGTTGTGTTGTGTCTGCTGTGCGACTGCCAAGATATCTGTCCAGATGTAGATAGTAGCCCTTGCCCAGATACTTCTTGTCGTTGAGTTTGTTCATCGCAGCGTCGAGGTCTCGCGCGTTGGCATCCTTGTCAAAGGTGATGTTCATCGTCGCTGAAGGCCTGCCCTCCACCCTC